CGGGCACAGGTACTCGCACTTCTCCACGTCGAACGCCGCCGGCTGACGCAGGCGGTACGGTCTGAAGTAAAGTTAAAAAAATATTTGTATGTTGTCTTTCACATATAATTATTTGTATGATTTTCTTTTAAACCTAAATTTGTCGAAATGACGAAGTGACCGCTGCACATAGATTTAATATTAACATTCGACTCGAAGGAATACCTTGTAGCAAAAGGTGGGGACGGGACTAAAATTAGGCTTCCGGCACGCATACTCATCAGAGACGACTCAGAATAAGTTCCATATAACACGTGCGGGTCACGTCAGACCTCAGACGTACCTGATCTTCTCTTTATCCCTGACACCATCGACGTACTTCCTCCAGCAGCGCGCGTGCAGCACGTGGCCGCAGGTGGAGACGTGCGGCTGCGAGCCCACGCCCGCGGCGAGGTAGGCGTCTCGCGGGCAGCTGACCACGCCGCGCAGCCGGCTCAGCACCGTCGACTGCTGCACGAACGCCACCAGCACCACCGGCTCCATGTTCAGCTCCACGCGGGCCTGATACCAATATATATGCCACTTAATCTAAACCAGTCACAATTAATTTGCTAACTGTTATTAATCGGTGCCGTAGGCCCAACTTGAGTCCCTTTTCCTTCCCATCCCTTTTTTTCTAGAAATAGGATGGGAACGAAAAGTGGATTTAACGGTGGAGGAGTCGCACAGGAATGGAAAATATACATCGTTTCTTGAATCATAAAAAGTTCAGACAAGCAGTTGATTAACCCACTGTGCCCTAGGCTGTTGTCTGTTGCTGTCATGGCCCGAGACAAAACGCAGAGCCCAGGATAGAGGGTGCTAGCTGCGCACTGTGGACGTCCTGTCCCACTTTGGGGACATGGGACAAGAAGAAGAAGATTTTTTACCACCTCCTCCTGGCACATGATGCAGACTCGCGGGGGGTCGGGCACTCCACCTCCCCACACGCCGAGCGCCGCGCCCGCGTACAGCGGACGTAGTTCTTGCTCCTCCGGGGTCACCTGCAACATTAAATAATTTAAAAAGTCAGTATCCCAAATAGTTGCTGGTTTAATATGCTACAATTTGATAGTTTATAAAATTAAAAATTTGTACTGAAGCAAATTTGCTTTTATACCTGATATCTCTACTAATATTATAAATAGGAAAGAATTGTATTTTTGTATGTATTGTAATAACTCAACAAATACTAGACCGATTTCAAAAATTCTTGCACCATTAAAAGGCTATTTTTTTATTTTTATAACAAAAGGTGGCAAACGAGCAAGCGCCCACCTGAACCCGCCAAAATGGCGAAGCGACCGCTGCCCATAGACATCGCAATTGCAGATGCGTTGCCTACCCTTATACGACGGAGGAGGAGACGCACATAAAGAGGATATATTCCCTTCCTATGCATCTCCTCCACCGTAAAATCCACTTCCCCTTCCCATCCTCTCCATATAAGAAAAGGGTGGTAAAGAAAAATGGACTTAAATTAGGCCTCCGGCACCACACTAATCGGACGAAACACGGAATTGCTTCCATTTCACGGCTGTCTTCTGTGTGGTCGTGGTATTACTGGGGGTGTGCCGGCCCTGCAGTGCTAAGATGTTAAAGCGGGCACTACCACTTTCAAAAGGCTATGTTATCACTAAGTAACATAGGCTATGTTCCTACTATATTCAAATATTATATAATTTCACGTGGACCACGACGTGAACAACAGCATTATCTATTCAAAACATTTCTTTCTTTGGTTACGGTTCGTTCCAGAAGAATGCTAGAAGTTTGATTATCCCCCCTTAAAATCGAGTGCAACAGGCCTCTGTATTGGTCTCCTCGAAGAGCACCGCGTTGTTGGATATGAATTTATTCATCTGCGCCTTCATCTGGTCCATCAGCTTGGCGCGGCGCTCCGCAGCCAACTTGGCACGACGGTTCTTCTCTGCATCTGGAAACAACGATTAATTTTAACAGGCAAAATATGTTAAAAATGTACATATTTTATTTCTTTCTTTATGCATCCATCCAATTTAGGTGGAGTCGGCCGATTACTGAAACGAATTTTAACATTTCGCTTCAAAAACCAGACAATTTTAGTTTTAATGGAGATTGAAGTAAAGCGCGGCATTATTTGTCGTTTCAATATTTTTCCGAATGACTACTAAGGTAAGATGTTTTCATAAGCGGTATGCTAACCTGCCGAATCTTCGGAGTTCTTCTGCCCCTGGTCTGTGTCCATGTTATCACCATCACCAGCGTGCTCATCCGACTGTCCCAGCAGCGCCCTAAACATACACAAACATCATTAAAAAACATTAAGAAAATACTAAAATGTGTTACTTTTTGTATTCCGTCGAAAAACTAGTCTACCTATTGTTAGATTATATGTCAGTTACTGTCAACTTGCCTCACCTACTGTCAAATTAAATAATCCACTGTCTGATTATTACGTCTACTGTAAGGTTATATTACCTACTGTCAGGTTATAACAGCTACTGTCAGATTTTTACGCCTACTATCATGTAACAACGGATACTGTCATATAAAAACACCTAACGTTATGTTACGCTACGCACGCTTACTGTCATGTCATAACGCCTGTCAGATTACAACGCTTATATTATAACGCGTACTTTCATGTTATAACGCCAACTGTCATGTTATAACGCCAACTTTCATGTCATAACGCCAACTGTCATGTCATAACGCCAACTGTCAAGTTATAACGTCAACTGTCATGTTTTAACGCCAACTGACATGTTATAACGCCTACTGTCAAATTATGAATTAGGGTTAGGTAAGATCGACTGACTTGATCCTGGCGTAGAGCCACTTGGCGAGCGGCAGGTGGGGCTCGACGCGAGCGCACGAGCACAGCTTTTGCAGCAGCTCGACCAGGCCGCTGCGCTGCGCGCTCTCAGCGAACGCGAGGAACTCGTAGTTCCCGCTCTCCTCGTCGCGTATCGCGTACCCGATCAGGTGTAGAGCCTGTACACGTTGATTGTCAATTTGGTATTGTGTTTTTCAAATTTTGACGACTCGGATCATTCTACAAGTAGCGGGATATAAAGCGAAACACGATTCATTCGTATACCTAAATACAAAAATAGACACCAGTTTGAATAATGAGGTCGAATGAAATTAGAAAAAAAACTTAACTAAACTAAGTAACTAGTGTATTATTATTAGTAATATCTGTCAATGGATGTGGTAAAGAGATTGCAGGGGGTCTAACACGAAAAGCGAGAATGTATTGGCAAGGAGAAAGATTGCAGGGTATCTAGCACGAAAATTTGCAAGAAAGTACTTATCTATCAAGAAAATTTGTATCAAGAATATTACAAATGTATGACGTTTGTATCACGTGTTACCTTGTGCACTTGTGTCTCTGAGAAGGATCTGGCGCGCAGGTCGATAGCACGCTCCAGCACGCAGCGCAGCACGTGCAGTGCCGCGTCGCTCTGCAGCAGGCTGGCCAGCAGCCGGAATGCTGGCGACAGCTTCGGCAGCGGCGGCGGCGGGCAGCACTCCGGCAAACCTGATAATATAAAAATAAGGGCCTGTCCCACCACTGACTGATAGAGTCACAGATAGCTTAAAAATGACCTTACCGTCAGAAGAGGTAACAAAATTCGATATTGTTATCACATGTTTTTGTTGATATTTTTGTAAGTGCAGTTTTTTTTATAAAGGGATAATTACATTATGAAACATATATGATACCAATGAAAACTCATAAGTATTGACTCACCAGCAGCCTTCCTTCTATTCCGCTGCTCCTCCTCACTCTTGGATAATTCCTCTCGAGTGTAGTGATAGAAGAAGGTGTCATATTCATCGTAGAGGTGCGGCTTCAACTTGTACATGCCGCGGTTGTTACCACCTTTGGGCTTCACGAAGTCTGCCACTTCGTGTATCACTGCTTCTAATCCGGTCTCATGCAGCTGGTCTTCTGGGAGAGATCTGGAGATCATACATGGCCGTGTTTATAATCTTATGACCTGGTAAAGACTTTACGAGAGTAGGATAAGGACGGGAGAGGTTATGATATTTCTCTAAATTACATCAGTTGTCAAGTTAATGATCTGACTAATATTATAAATGCGAAAGTTTAGATGGAAGGATGGATGGATCTCCATGAAATTTGGCACAGGTTTAGAGCATATTCTGGAAGAACACATAGGCTACTTTTTATCCCGGGAATAGTTACGGTTCCCGAGGGATTCATTAATTTAGTTTTTTAATGTTCACCCGATCATTCTGCAACGGTTTAACATATCTTATTGAAATTTGGCACAGATATAAAACAAAGTTTGGAGTACGTATGGGATAAGCTTCATCCCAGAAAAATGGCCGGTTGCCGAGGGATACGTAACTTTTTATAATTTATATAGTTCGTATGTTTTCTAATACCACGCGGACGAAGTCGCGGGCAACAGCTCGTGATTCATATATTATTATATGAATGTTTCAAGCGAAGTGTCAACTATGTCTCCGTTATTTGATTTTCTTTGATTTCTAATAGAAATATCTGTATACCTGTTGAGCTCCGAGTGCGGCATTGGCTTGACGCACAGCATCTGTATGATCTCCTTCTTGGTGCGATCTTCATTGCTCACTTCGCCCACGCCCGGCACGTAGCGGGAACCGACCACTGTTGCACAAAAAAATATCAATTATTTACACAAAAACATTTAGTTTATATGAGGAATTTACGTAAGTTTTTTTTTATTTTTTATAACATAAGGTGGCAAACGAGCAAGCGGCCACCTGAATCTGCCAAAATGGCGAAGCGACCGCTGCCCATAGACATCCGCAATTGCAGATGCGTTGGCTACCCTTATCCGACGGAGGAGGAGACGCACATAAAGAGGATATTTCCCCTTCCTATGCATCTCCCCACCGTCAAATCCACTTCCTCTTCCCATTCTCTCCTTATAAGAAAAGGGTGGTAAAGAGAGAGGGACTTAACTTAAGCCTCCGGCACCACACTCATCAGACGAAACACGGAATTGCTTCCATTTCACGGCTGTCTTCTGTGTGGTCGTGGTATTACTGAGGGCGTGCCGGCCAATTCGTGCTAAGATGTTAAAGCGGGCACTACCACTGTAGAAGTTAAGTTAATTCAACTTAAGCAATCACTTAACTGTTATAAGTTTATAAGTATTAAATGAGTTTATGAAATTCAATAGAATTGAGAGATTTTATTTCCATTTCACTAGCTGACAATATCATTGTCTATAGATTTATTTTGAAATACTCCTGTTCTGTCTATTCTCAATTAATCTGTGATTACAGGATTATTAAGGTATAAGCATTTTAGATAAGTTTATTATAAATTATCTTTTCATTTTTAACTATATTCCAATTGGTATTAACTTATTTTCTTATCTAACTGACACACTTAATAGTATAAGAGGTTCTTAGTGCGACTTTAGTGTAAAAGTATTAAAAATAGTATTAAAAAGCACAATTTAAGTGCTTAAGTAGGCAGAGTTTTGCATCATTTGGTAATTTTCCGCCATACTTCTAGAACATTCTATGTGTCCCCTTATCCCCTACTTCTAAAACATTCTCAGTTTCCATTTTACCCCTTACTTCTAAAATATTCTTTGTCCCTTTACCCGCCCCCCCCCCACTTTTAGAACATTCTCTGTCCCTTTATCCCCTACTTTTAGTACATTTTCTTTGTTTCTCTACCCTCCTATTTTTAGTAACATTTTCTATGTCCATCCGCTTTATCTAGGACATTCCTCATGTCTACCGACCCGTGATGAGCAGTCCGAGGAACTCCTCCACCATGCTGCTGGTCTGCCTCAGCGTGTCGTACTCGATGTTCTGCTGCTCGAACTGCGGCGACGCCCACTCCAGCAAGTTGAACTTGTTCAGCACGTGGATTATGAACTCGTTGCTCTCGATCAGGGATGCACCGATCTAGAATATATTAATATGTCCGTAAGTTTGGGATGTAATATACATAAATTCTATTAAAATTAACATAACATGGTAAACAAGCTGTCGCTACTCAGTTCACGTTAAGTTCAAAAAATATTTTACGCGGACGCATTTCATTATGTCTATGTGTAATTCCAAATCGTGTTCTACATCTGTACAATAATAGCGAAATACGTTATGAAGAGAAAAGTAGTGACAAACATTCATCCGTACATCCAAACTTTTGCATTAATAACATTACTAGATTTTGGCCGCGAATCCGTCCGGGTAAATTAAAAAAAAAAAAGTAACCTATATGTTCTTCCACACTATGCACTACATCTATGTCATATTTCACCCTGACGCGTTCAGCATTGTAGACTACAAACTCTACTCTACTCTACAAACAAACCTATACTAACATTATAAAGAGAAATGAATCGTATTTTTGTTTGCATTAAAATAACTAAAAAACGACTGGGCCTATTTAAAAATACTTTCATCATTCTAAAGCTGCGTCATCACTGAAATTATATATATATATTGCTATATTTGTAAATATCACGGGGACAAAGTTGCAAGCACCAGCTATTATTAAAAAAAAAATCGGAATCCATCACAGTTTTAATTAAGATGTGACGTGTGTGTATGTGACGTCACCTGCAGCATAACGACGTCACGGTCCAACATCTCAGTGCGACACTTCACATTGTGGTAGAAGTAGAGCTGGTTGAGGAGCGCGTATCCATTGCGTCGCCACATGCCCGCGTGTACTTGCGCTATCATAGCCATCGTACACAGCACAGGCTCTGAAATACACAAATATAACAAATCAAAATACACAAATTGCTAAGGGGGGGAGATGGATGGAGGTAGCAGCCCCCCACTCTAGAGAATAAATAGAACAGATACTTCGAATCTAGGCCATCGACTTACGACTCTTATAACAACATCCTTATTGCAATAAAGTAATTAAGGGTCTGTTTTAAAATAAAATAAAAAAATAAAAATGAATAAAACAATGTTTAATCCTTGTCAACACTACAATTATGAAATAAAAATATTAAACACAAAATAATGAGAAACGTAACTAATGAAATGAAAAAAAAAAAGAAAAAGAATTATTTAAAATTAGCGTTGCAATGCTGACAGGATTGGGCCCTCGCTCAGCCACAAATGCTGGATGCTCCCATCGAAGCAAACTAACTAGTGTTAGACAACTTATTTAATTGACACTGTCGCTTTTAACTCAGAGCAATACTTCTCGTTATGACTCAAGTTACGCGCCAATCTATCCATATTTCTAGTGACATTGACAGCTGTCAGCTAGGGACGTGACGTTTATGCCGATAATCTAGAGTTGCGCCAATTCTATAGCGCGGTACTAATTTTATTCCTAACACTAGTAACTTATAGTAACTATTGGACGACTTTGAGTATGGCTTTAAGTGTTATAAGACAAACTAATAAAGCAAGAGACAACAGGTTGGTCGTTTTAGAAGGGATAACGTGACATCCCTTTATACGCAAACAGCAATAGAAAAGGTATACTTATTGGAATTACATATTAATAGGTCTCGCTAGGGGTGGCCAAAGAGGGGGGACCATCCCCTAATAGTCCAAAAATATAAGATACTATAAGACTATATTAGAAGTAAATCTATAACATTATACAGCGGAAAGATTTGTATTTTTGTTATTGAAATAAATCAAAAACTATTAGGCCATTTACAAAAATTCAGCATTCAATAGCTACTTTATTACTGAGTAACATAGGCTATATTTTTTTATTATTTTTTAATTTCACGCGGGCGAAGTTGCGGGCATCAGCTAGTAGGTATTTTGTGACGTGTTATTAGTCGAATCATACTAAAAACTATACTATTATAATAAAGCGTAAACACACATTTCTTTGTTGCCTAAGATGTCAGCAATTACAGCATATTTTTAAATACAAGAAGTATTTAAAAATATGCTGTAATTGCTTTTTAATAAAAAGCCCTACACTTAAATCACGCTTTAGGCTATACATTTTCACGCCATTAAACTTAGGGGGTAAATATTTTGGATAAAAACCCTAATGTGGGAAAGAGACCATAGGTTGTTGCCAACATCAAGGAAGCAAGATTGCCGAGGTTTGTCATCATGTCATGTCATTTTGACATTTGTAATTGATAATTTTAAACAATAAATGTATAGTTCCATGCGGATGAAGCCGCACGGGAACAGCTAGTGTCATATATTACAAAGAAGTACCAAACATGTTAAAGTTATACCAATGAGTTCCTCCGGCGTTGGCTTAGGTCTATCATGCCTGTCGAACTCCCGGCTGTGGTAGGCGAGGCCGTGCTGCTGCAGGTGCAGATGCAGGCCGGCGATGAAGCGGGACAGCGGCCGGTGTATCGACACGGGCGCAATCGACACGTCGTACGGGATCACCAGCGCGCTCTGGCTGCCGAGCTCTGAAACACACGGGGAAACAGAGGTTATTTTAAACACGTGATTTTATAATGCATTTTCTTCGACAAGTTAAATATTAATAGAAAGTAGTTACAATAATAAAATTACGACATTACGAAAACTAAAAACTATAGTATAAAAATAAAAATAAACCTTACTAATCTAACTGATATAAATGCGAAAGTTTAGATGGATGGATGGATGTTTGCTAATGTTTGTAGCCTAAACGGCTGAACGGATTTCGGTGAAATTTAGTACAGATGTAAAGGATAGTCTGGAAGACAACATAGGCTGCTCACTTTTTTCTTTTAATTCCATGCGGACGGAGTTGCAGACGAAAGCTAGTATTATATATGCGAAAGTTTATATAGCTGTTTGTTAGAATTTGCAGCTTAAACTGCGCAACGCGGACGAAGTCGCGGACCAAGGCGAGTGCTCGCGATGGTATGTAAGGAGGGAAGCGCTTAGTTTATCGGAATGATGTTGGAATAGTGCAAAGTTTTTTTAGAGAGTTTTTTTTTATACGAAAAGGGAGCAAACGAGTGGCGGGAACACAGAGGTGGTGAAGGGTGCGTTGCAGACTCGCTTGCAGGTGTACCTCTGAGCTGCAGCGTGTCGTGCCCGCAGGTGTCGGCGTGGCGGCGCAGCGCCATGCGGTAGGCGGAGGCGAGCAGGCCGCGCTCGGCGCCGCACCACTCCAGCGCCAGCGTGATGCTGTTGGCCAGCTTCACGTGCAGGTTGAACGCGGACTCCCACTCCGGCTCGTATTCCATGTGCTGGCCGCGCTGTACACAAAAAAGTGCATATTACAATTTTATTATTAACAAAATCCAAAATTTCATGGAAAAAATCCTGCTTTTTGGTACCTTTTTTTAAGAAAAACTTAAAAACTACTAATTTTGAAACACAAACGATCAGATTCTTCATCGCACTCGAGAACAAACCAATGAGTTTGTTTTTGCGTTGTATTTGTCTATATTTGTTAATTCTATTCTGTCTAAAATTTTAACAAATAATAATGAAAAATCGCAGCTATTACGTGCCAAACAAAAAACAATCACTTCAATCCGATCCCAAATCTCAGCGTACTCAAAGTACTTCCATATAGAAAGATACAATTAAGTACTTGCTCCTTTTTGAAGACGGTTAATAACTATTAGGAATTTTATGTTCTAGTAGAATATAGTACAAGAAAACCAAATTTAAAAAAGACAAACTCTGAGTACAAGAAAACAACGTTCTTTAGACATGACTAATAATTTAAACGAACCTAAAAAGACTTCGTAAACGCTGTTTTTATTGATATTTGGAGTTAAACCATAGTATTATTTACGACTATTAATACATAATTATTGGTGATGTCTACCTGTCTAACAACAGAGTCCATGCCCTGCATCATGACGAGGAGGGAGATGATGAGGGAGAGTCCGTGCAGGAAGCCCTTGCGCAAGTCGTCGTCGAAAGCTGTGGGCACGGAGCCCAGAAGATACTTCACGTCATACAAGATGAACTGGGCGCGCTTGAACGCCATCGACACATGGTTGCGGTCGAACTCCAAACGACCCTGGAAAACATCAATAAATCATTTATACTAGAAAAACTTTAATGGTTTTTACACAAATATTACAACTACAGTAAACTGCTATAAACAATGTTACAATAAACCCTAGGACAAGATAAGACATAAATACAAGCTAGACTTTATTATAATTATTTATATTAAAAAATCTGAGTTTTAATTTTCTAATTATTGCGTTAATCTTATACAATATATTCTTAACGTCATCCACAAATTTTGTATTAGAATTGTACAAAGCCCTTAAAAAAATAAAGTGCACAACATTAAAATTCTCGCAAATATCACGGAAATATTCGTGATAGACCCTCAGTTTATTTCCCAAATACCTATTACTATTTATTAAATTATTTTTTAATAACTAAATTCCATATATACTAGAAATACCATCTATCAAACATCCAAAACGTACACTATGTCAGACGTATTACGTCACAGATTAAACACTAACGTTCAGGACATGACATCACAAAACATTCCTATTTGAAACATAAATACTTACCCTGCTATTGCAGCGTCTTAGACATTCACTAACAAATGTGTTCATAACAACGAAGAGCGCGTCATGCTTCGCTATGAGATGGTGCGCCAGCGTGGGCGTCGTGAACAGCTGCACCGACATAGAGGATATCGAGAACGAGTGGTCATGGTCATCGCGGATGAAGTCCTTCAGCATCGAACCTGGGGAAGAAATAGCTTCTATAACATAAGGATAATAAATGGTAAAGCCCGCTTTAACATCTTCACACGAATGGGTCGGCTCGCCCACCGCAATAACACGACACACAGAAGACAGGCGTGAAGTGCGAGCAATTTCGCGTACAGCCTGATGAGTGTGGTGCCGGAGGCCCAATTATAGTATAAAAAAGGATCGGATAAGAAAGTGGATTTCACAGTGGAGAAGACCCATAGGAAGGGGGAAAAATCCTCTTTATGTGCGTCTCCTTCTCAGTCAATTTAGGGTAGACAACGCATCTGCTTTATTAAAGTAATTATTGAAAAATATGCTGTAATTCCTACGCCACAAAGTAGTGTGTTTACGCTTTATTATATTAGTATAGATATAGTATAGATATTATTGAACGTCGTCGACTCAGTAGGGAGCGTCGGTCGCTCAGTGGTCTAAACACTTGACTTGTAATCTACAGGTCTTGGGTTCTAATCCCGCCATGTACTAATGTGATTTTCGATTATTCGAATTTTCATATGTACATAATTTACCCGACGTTCTTACGGCGAAGGAAAATATCGTGATGCCTGCACATATCGGCGAAGAAATTCAAAGATATGTGTGACGTCAACCAATCCGCACTGGGCCATTGTGGTTGACTATGGCTTAGTCACTCCTTACTTAGGATAGACTTCGAACCCCTCGGTGGGGACGTATAGTGAGCTGGTGGTGATGTGTAATGATAAGATATTATTAGCGTAGTGAAAGTCTTGTACTGTGCCGACCCTCCATAAGGGATAAGGGCAAGTGGATGATGATGATGAAAGTCTTGTATTGTAGTTCACTTACCATAATACTTGGTGAACAGAATCGCCATATTCCGCTTAGTGTCATAATCCATAAGCGTGGTGGCAATGAGCAGGCGATGCCACGCGGCGCGCGCCGCCTTCCACATGCGGCAGTCGTTCTGCATGACGCCCGCTGCCACGCCCCCCGCACCCGCCGCGCCCGGACCCCCCGCGCCCCCCGCCTCCTCGCCCAGCGCCACCTGGCTCACCGCCAGCCGCAGCGTCGGCTCCTTGCACACGAAGTTCTGCAGCCTACAGTCCATTCATATTCCATTGTTACCAAATATATAAGATACTAGCAGTTCCCGTGCGACTTAATCCGCATGCAATTAAGAAAATTTTATTTTACATTTGTCAAATTATCAATTACAAATGTCAAAATGACAACCTTGCTTCCTTGATGTTGGCAACAACTTATGGCCTCTTTCTCACATTAGGGTTATTATCCAAAATATTTACCTCCTAAGTTTAATAGTGTGAAAATATATAGCCTAAAGCGTGACGAAAGTATTAAAAAAATAATAATTTAAAAATATGCTGTAATAGCTGACATCTTAGGCAACAAAGAAGTGTGTGTTTACGCTTTATTATAATAGTATAAATTTAGAGTGAATTGAGTAAATCGATCTTGTAGCTTAAACGGCTGAACGGACCTTGATTAAATTCGGCAGAGATGTAAAGGATAGATAAGAACACATAGGCTACATAATTTTGTTTTTTTTTTCATTCAAAATTCGTGTATGTGTTGACTTTGCTCAATCTATATAGTTTTGTTTTATTCTTATTTATCCATCTGTCCGTAAATCCAAATTTATTACGACTTATTTTCGAAAGCTCTAGGCCTATTATTAATTGATATTCCGGGCTAACGAAGTCGTGGGTGACCTCTACTTAATAACAATTTAACCAATATTGAAATAATCAATTTGGTAGCTAAACATTATATGGGGTTAAATAGTAAAAAATCACTAATTTTACTATCATTATACGATATTTATCTCTTTGTTTGTGTATAGCATGGGCATGTTATGAGGAGCAAGAACGTTAGTTATGAGTGTGGTACACTGGTAGAGGTAGACATAGAAAGAAATGGATTGCGTGAAAGGTGACATGACTGAGATGAAGTATAGTGTGGAGGAAAAAATCCTGTTGCACCCTACAGGAGTAGGATAAGGAGGAAGATGTGTGTATGTGTATGAATGTGTATGGGTGTGTATGAGATGAAGTATAGTGTAGAGGACAAAATCCTGTTGCACCCTACAGGAGTAGGATAAGGAGGAACATGTGTGTATGTGAGTGTGTGTATGAATGTGTATGAGTTGAGTACTGACCATTGCAGCAGCTTCATGGCGTAGTGCTGGTGGGCGACGACGTGCGCGTGCATCACCAGCACCTTCAGCACCGGCCCGTGGCGGGATGTGAACCTTTCGAACATCGCGGTGCGGCTGAGTGCCATACATACATCATCGCCCCCCACAACACATGCAATAAGGGGGGGTTCCACAATTTTATTAAAATTGAAATTTCAATGGGCAATATGCATATGACGCCAAATTGCATCAACTTTTTTTAAGTATACTTTATTACTATAAAAACATTCCTGCAAAGATTTTTTTTAATATAATGTGATTTAGTGGCAAAATTTAATCATTAAAAAGTGTCTTTTTTCAAATTTCCTCGCTAAGTTCTAAAACGCACACTATTGGTCGAAACAAGTGGCTTATCTAATATGTTATGAATGGAATAAGACGATTGACGTCAATTGTCTATTGACAACTCCGGCCGCGTTACAGTCGCTCGAAAATGGTCGTAATATTATATATTATTTTTAGCTCAATGGTTGAATATTTTCGCGACAATTTTTTTTTCTGGTTATTTTATAACGAGTAGAATCGTTTAAAAAAAGAAAAAAATACATGCATATTCCCTATTGTTTATAAGTAAAAAAGTACTAATTATTTTAAGATTTTCTTAAAGAGAAAAGACTTTTTTAAAGACAAAACTCTAGTAATATTTAAAAAAAAAAGATGTATACTTACGCCTCGATTTCAGTTTTGAGTTTATCGCACATCTGGAAGGAGTTGCACTTGACAAGCGCGCGGCCCTCGCGGTCGATGAGGCTGACCAGCTCCACGGCGTCGCGGTGGTTCGCCTTCAGCACTCGCGTCAGCGTTGCTATCACCTGACATACATTCAAATATATATATGTACAGTCAAGTCACTTCGCGGTGATACATTTACAATAAAAGCCTTGTCCATTGCAACGATAATGCCTTATAGTTTGTCTAAATAAGATTAATTTGACAATTTAGTAGGGATGGGTCGTGTAAAAGTGTGAATCTTTTCGATTTTCGATTTTTACTCTCATAGAAGTTGGAATCGATAGATTCATAGTTATAACTTATGGGTTAAAATAAAAACACTGTTTTCTCAAATCAATAATTACATACAGAACCAATATAAAACATGAGAGTTAATAAATAGTTATTTATTATTTGTACATAATCGATTTTGATTTTACTATTTAATAATAGTATAATATAATAATAATGATAATGTTTCCGGTTGTTCTCGCCTTGCGGACGGTGCATACTTGCATAGACATAACCAAGTGGCCAAGATTATCCATCAGCAACTTGCCTTTAAGTATGCTCTTGTGGAATCTGAGGTACCATATTACCAATATCAGCCTACACCAGTTCTGGAAAATAGCCGTATCACGATCTACTGGGACCGATCTATTATTACGGACAGGACTATTGCTGCCAATAGACCTGATATAGTAATAATAGATCGGTCTGAGAGTTGTGTAATGTTAGTCGATGTCACTATCCCACATGACGAGAATCTCGTGAAAGCCGAAAATGAAAAGCTATTAAAATATTTGGATTTGGCTCACGAGATTACCGCCATGTGGCGTATGAAATCGACTACCATTATTCCGATAGTCGTTTCGGCACACGGGCTGATAGCGAAGAGCTTCGACCAACACCTCAAGGAGCTCTCGCTAGACAGTTGGATTAAGGGCCCGATTCAAAAGGCGGTTATTTTAGAAACCGCACGACTAGTGAGGAGGTTCCTGTCTCTGCAGCCCTGACCACTGGTTGCTTGAGTCATCGGATTCCGCAGCCGGTGGACTTACTATTTTTTTATATAATATGTTTTATTTTGTTATTTTTTTAAGAAAATCATGTGAAATGTATTATATATAAAAATAAGAGAATAAAGATATGTTAAAAAAAAAATAATAATAATATAATAATTTGTGATCCGTATATACTCTACACTACATTCATTACTAAAATCGTCCCCTAAATTAGTTGATTTAAATTTAAATTAGTTATTTAAACCGAATATCGATAGTTCACAGTTGTTCGCTATGCGTGTTTCATCACTAGGATACCCGTCTATCAAGTACGGCATTTACCTTCATACAAATTTAATTCGATACTTCATATAAGTCATCAAACTAATCTTATTTAGACCTATACAAATAACATGCAGCAGTGAGTTAAGCAAACAACGAGAGAATGAAAAAGCAACTAGCTGTGTACTAACGAGATTTTACACAAAAGCGTTCTAAGCTTGAAGGTTAAAATGCTTTAAGTAAATCCATGGTTAATTTTGCCCATTCCCTGGAGATCCACTGCACCTGTTGTACCTGTTCGAAGGTGTGGGTCTCATCATTGTACATGACGGTGCAGTAGCAGTCCGGCTGGTCCAGGATCTGCAGCAGATCGCGCTCACCGTCCTTCAGCCTGCACACACCATATTTCCTTTTTTTTTATAATATAAGATGGCAAACAAGCAAGCGCTAATAAACATCCGCAATTGCAAATGCGTTGCCTACCCTTCATTGACAGAGAAGACGCACAAAAAGAGGATATTTCCTTTTCTATGTGTCTCCTTCACCGTCAAATCCACTTTTCCTTCCCATCCTTTCCTCTTGAGGGTGGAAAGGAAAAAGGACTAAAATTAGGCCTCCGGCACCACTCATCGGACGAAACGCGGAATTGCTTCCACTTCACTTGCTTACAAACCAAAGTGTAAAATATGTCATGAAAATATCGGATTTTGTTCCCTTATCTGACAGTGACGTCATTTTTAAAATATCCGAGTCTATCAGCCAGTGGTGGGACAGGCCCTAAATATTTGTTTAGATTAACATACTTTCATTTGTTATTTTACATTGTAAATACATGATGCCATTTGAATTAATAATGCAATAAATAAATCTATATAAAATCAAGTAATTATGTTGATAAACATATAAATAAATAAATAACACTTTGTCCGTTATCATCGGCGGCCTTAGCAAGTAATATTTTTCCCAGATATGAAAGTATAATTCATGTATGTATGAGGGTTTACATAAACCAATTTAGTCGAGTGAGACTGTAGCGATGTCTGGAGAGAGTTAAGTTTTTTTTATTTATTGTGTTACCTGAGTTCATTGGGCAGTCCGGGCGCATGGTCGAGGGTCAGCAGCCGGAAGCAGTAGGAGAAGCAAACGGAGGCGAGGATCTTCATGCGCTCTATCACTTCAGCGCTGATGGTGGACTGGGACTCCTGTTCCTCGTTCTCTGGAGCCTGCGTATATTTTTATAACTAAACATGATAATTACGAAGGTAACGTAGTTTATAACTTTTATATTATTCCTATTGGAAGAGGAGTGTAATGAATTTTTCGCAGAGTTCTGTCAGTTAATTTAATTCAACTATAAAAGTTCCAAGTATATATAGACTAACTTCAACACTTCGAATAATATTAAAATTTACATTTGCTCTTAAACAACAATTTAAAAATATGGAAATGTCTGTTGAATTCTAATAGAAAACGACAGTTTATTTATGACAGACTAGCTGTCACCCGCGACACCGAATTAGTTCATAATAAAAAAAAAACTAAAGTTAGTAGCTTATTGAAATTAAAAAAAATAAAAACAAAAGTGAGTAGCTTATGTGATCTTTCAGACTACACTCTACATCTATACCAAATTTTATAGAAATCCTTTAAGCCGTTTAGGCTACAAACTCTAACAAACATCCAGCCATCCATCTAAACTTTCGCATTTATTATATAACTAGCTTTCGTTCGCGACTCCGTCCGCGCGGAATTAAAAAAAAACAAAAGCCTATGTGTTCTCCCAGACTATCCTTCACATCTTTTTTTTTTATAACATAAGGTGGCAAACGAGCAAGCGGCCAACTGAAATCGCCAAAATGGCGAAGCGACCGCTGCCCATAGACATCCGCAATTGCAGATGCGTTGCCTACCCTTATTCGACGGAGGAGGAGACACACATAAAGAGGACATTTCCCCTTCCTATGCATCTCCTCCACCGTCAAATCCACTTCCTCTTCCCAACCTCTCTTTATAAGAAAAGGGTGGTAAAGGGAAAGGGACTTAAATTAGGACTCCGGCACCACACAAATCATCCATCTAAGCTTTCGCATTTATAATATGAGTAAGACAATATATGACAGATTAAGCAACTAGTTGTTAACTAACGGTGTGTAGCTCGCAGAAGGGATCTCGTTTCCAGGCCTCTGTATCGCCGCAGTCGCAGCAGCCGCCGCCGCCCGACTGCCCCATCTTGTACTTGTGGTGTCGATGCGCTGACACCTTGAAGCACTCCACGCACAGCACGCACGTGTTGTCCATACCTAACACCAATATACTCCGATAGTGTACAGTCAGACCACTTTGCTGTGTTCGACTTACAGAAAAATCGACTTGGTCCTTGCAGACACAGAAAAAAGATTTAGTTAATTAATTAAAATTAAGAAGCAGAGTCGCGCGACGACATAATAGTTAGTCGTGTGCTACTAACTAACCATTAACTAAACCAAATAACCATGTAAACATTAAAAGATTTTTTTTATATGTGTTTCATCGACTTTGACATTTCTTCGGTTCTTTTAGACACACATTTTTCCTCAAGTGTCAGTTGCCTATTTTACATTTGACATACTTATATACTATTACAGCCAAAATGTATTTATTATAAATCGACCTCTTTATAAATCCGCAACACATTTTTCGTTGACACATTGAAAATTGTTTGTTTTGGCGTCGTAATCTATCCTTACGATACGTTCACACAACTATCACTTTTAAGGTCACCGGCAGATTTCCTGATAGTACATATTGACAAAGACAATCAATGAATGAACTGCTAGCAGTGGCTAACTGAGCTACTAACCGCACTCCCTGCAGCTGTAGGCGGGCTCGCCCTGCTTGAAGACGCGGCCGCAGAGCGTGGAGCGCCGCGGCATGGGCGGTTGCGAGGCATCGCTGTCGCCCCACACGAACTGCTCCAACGGCTGGATCAACAGCTTCTGAGCCAACTCTTCATCGAATGACCAATCTGGAAAACAAATACGTTGATGGATTAGATGACAGTATAGGCTTAAACTTTCTAGGACACATAGATTTTCTTAAACCACCTTTTTAACTATCTGAGCCAGGGATGGTTAACATTTATGCATCAAAGTGCAATTACATGCTTTAAAATTAAAGAAATGTTAAATGCTGTCTTAGAGGTGCCATTGATTAATTTTGACTTCGTTTATTACCACGGTGCACCTACTTCATATTTTTTGTAGTCATTTATCATTATCGACATGTCCAAAATATTATGACGTGTGCCACTTATGGCACGCGTGGCCACCCCTGGTCTAATAAGCTAGGTCTAATTAGATTTTTATAAAAGTTTAAATATCTCTTCTGGGTATCCTTTTCCTTGAATCGCTTCTTCCAACTTTGCCTGGATCGTTAACAGATCGTTCACCATTTTAAAACACTAACCGAGGCAGGTCCTGTTGGGCTGCGGCGAGTAGATCCTTGGCACGGTGACCCTCCAGTAGTCCTGGAAATGCGCGGGGGAGAGCACACCCTCCGTCAGCTTGGAGCGCCACAGCTCCACCACGGCGTCAGCGCGCACCGGCAAGGTAAACCTAACAATTACCAAAACAAATCAGTTACATATGGGTGCGCAGCAGTGCACCTGCCGAGGCGATTTTTGACATTTGACAACTGAAAAAGTTAACGGTATTTTAAGAAGATAATGACCGCTACATCAGCGTGGAAAGAAGACAACATTCAGAGCGCTAGCAAACTTTGACTAAACTATCGCAGAACTTTAGTCGCTTTGATTCCTACGAGCTGATATGGAGGTGCGCACACAACTCGAATTTTAGTTTTGCAACTAAACAGTTGAATTGGCTGCAAAACAATCGGCAATCGCACAACTGTGTGCGATAGTTTAGTCAAAGGTGTACTCCGGCTTTTAGAGTAAACTATATTAAAATCGATGTATAACATGTAATCAGCTATAACGCTGGTAATTTGTAAGTTTTATTACTAATCTAATCGTGTATTTTGCATTAAGCGGCCAAGTTGTTTTCACATCTTTCAATGCGCATATTTATGCCTATATCAGGATTATCTTGATATATGTTTATTACACTTGTTTGAAAATAATTTTATTAACGTGGACATCCACTATAGTACAATCATTTCCATCTGATTTTTTATAGATAAAAATAAATATGCTTCAGCAGTGAAAGCCCACGGTTATGATAAACTGACTTTTCCTCTTCGTTGTTTTCTTCCATCTTTATACAAACAATAGGTAACAATAAACACAGTAATTATTTTAAACTTTGACACGTACAGTCACGCACATAACTGGTAACAATTATTTATAACACAGACATAACGACCCAGACATTAATCGAATGATGATTGAAAAATCACTGAACGTACAACCCGACAGAATCTCCATCTATTTATGTATACGAACTAGCCGCCACGCGTGTCTTCGTTCCGAATTAAACTACTGAAAAATATTTATAAATAATGTAAGAGGCCGCATCTATTTGTGTAGATCGTTAAAAAGATTATGTACTCGCTACTGCCATTATAAAAAAGGTTTTCTTATATTTAACAGTTTTGTTAATCGATAACGAAACGGTTTTCCGAAGGTTTTGTTGGTACGAGTTCCAAAAATAATATGTAATTCGTAAAATTCAGGGATATGTAATGAAAAAAATGGTTTTCATATAAAAGAACATTTTCATATTTTAAATTTTAAATCATCATCATCATCATCATCATCACCAGCTCATTATACGTCCCCACCAAGGGGCACGGAGCTTACCCTAAGTCAGGGGGTGACTAGACCATAGTCAACCATGCTGGCCAAGTGCGGGTTGGTTGACTTCACACATATCTTTGAATTTTTTCGCTGATATGTGCAGGTTGCATCACGATGTTTTCCTTCACCGTAAGAACGTCGGGTAAATTACGTACATATGAAAATTCGAAATATCGAAAGCACATTGGTACATCGCGGGACTCGAACCCAAGACATGTAGATTAGAAGTCAAGTGCTTAAACCACCGAGTCACCGACGCTCTTTTATTTGGGTGTAACATATTTTTAATTTTGTACAAGCTTTGGGGCTAATAAGGTTACGACTTTTTTCAATACATTAACCTTGTTTCTTTTAAAAACATTTTATGATTTAGAAAATTTTTCGTTACATTTAGTTTACCAGACGATTCTAGAGATCGGATTATCGTTAAAAATAACTCGAAATTAACATACATTTTAATCTATATTATTTATGGTAACATCTCTATCTAGATGTCATCTTACAAATATTTTGCCATCGAAAACTCCAGACCATTCAGTACAGGACCACAGCCTTCAAACCTGAAGTACGCATTGAGAAATAAACTTTATTCCTAAGGAATAAATCTCAGATTACAATAGCAAGTTATAAGCCTAGTGTCCGAAGCTAATGGCGGTAAAAATAAAATGGTACGGCTCGTTGGCGAGGTCAATGACATTGGTGTTTTTGTTTATAATGCAAGGTGAATTCGGATTAAACAAACTTTATTAATAATTATAATTAATATTAGGCCATTGACTTACAAAGGGCAAGGTCGTAAAAAAGTTATTCATGTTAATTATATCTTTCAAACAAGTGAGATTTTATCTTAGTTTTGTGTACTTAGCAAAATATATATCAATGATTTAAAAGCAAGTAAAACGTTCCGAATCCTGGTCCACAAAACTGACCAAATTTTTGTTTAATAAAGATTAAATCTATACTAATTTTATAAAGAGGAAAGATTTGTATTTTTGTATTTAATGAAATAACTCAAAAACTACTAGACCGATTTCAAAAATTCTTTCACCATTAAAAAGCTACGTTATCAGTGAGTAACAAAGGCGAGATAATATTTAAATTCACGGGGGGCGAAGTCGCGAGCAACAGCTAGTTGATGATAAAACGTATTACAAATTTACTAATTGTCATCACTCTTGTATTGTCTTATTCAGTATCAACGTTAAAATGTCTTATAGAAGTTTAAACTGATTTTTCTTACTTTTCTTACTTATGTACAATTAAGTTATGCAATAAAATATGTCGGAAGCTGGCACAGCATCAGGTCAGCGAGTCAGCGCATCATTCCTTCGGACCTTGGCACGCCAGTGAACGACATTCATACTGCATTCACACCGTAGCGTAATTCTAATCTATTTTAATATTATAAAGACCAAAGATTTGTATTTTTGTATGTATTAAAATAACTAAAAATCTAATGAACCGATTTCAAAAATTCTTTCACCATTAAAAAGCTACGTTATCACTGAGTAAAATAGCCTATACTTTTTATTATTCTTTATTTTCAAGTGGACCAAGTCGCGAGCAAGAGCTAGTGACAAATAAAGTAGTTTGATAATGACACGAATGCAATGTTTTTCACAAGTATTGTAAGATATTAGTTCCATTATGGTCGACCTTAGCTCTAATCTTTGAACCTAAAAATCGTTCGTATTTTTATCGTATTTCTGCCTCATTTATTTAAAAGTTCTTAGTCGTAACTGGCACTACTAATACAAATAAGGAAATAAAATTGATTTTTAACTTGTGCGAAAATTTAAATTTGGAATCGTTCTTGTAATCATCATCACCATCATTGCTTTACCGAAATTACATCGTTTTGGGTCGTCACCAGCTCACTATACGTCCCCACTAAGGAGCACGGAGCCTACACTAAGTAAGGGGTGACTAGGGCATAGTCAACCACATAGACTGACCCTGTTCGTTGGTTGACTTCACAAATATCTTCATTTTCGGATGAGACGAATTAAATATTATGTAATAACGGTGTGATAGACGGTCGTTATTAAACATTGCCAACATAAAATCCCAAAGATATATTTCGAGACAAGACACGTGCTAAGATGTTTGAGTAATCTTGTTTGCATTATACTATCGATTGTCAATAAGCGACATACAATAATGGATGATGTGTGGATTGATTTTAATTGACGCGGAACTATTTTGCATTATAATGATGTCACCTACTATCGTCTATAAGCAAGCAAATAGATATCATACATTTGATAAACTACAATTACATATATAGCTGTTGCCCGCGACGTCGTCCACGCAATATTGATATGTCAGTTATCCTTCAGTAAAAGTCCGGTTGTAATCGACCCAGCCGTTTCGGAAATTACCCGGAGCAAACGCGACTTGCGGACAAACAGACAAAAAAAAATGAAATGCGATTTTCGTTATCAGCAACGCAAATACATCTTCCCGAAAGCTGAAATTGTTCTTTTGATATTACAAACAGACACTCCAATTTTATTATATGTATAGATAGATATAGATTATTTGACTTTATTAAAGTATACGTTCCTTTATACTTTTGTAAAAAATTTACGAGTCATAAATTAAAAAATCAATTTACATCTACATGATTGAAAGTTATATGCAAATTATAAGTGTTATTTGAAAAACATGTTTGAATTGCGGAAATAATTTAAACTAATGCGAAACCAGGGATGTCAAAAAATGTTTTGGTATTATAACGCATTGTGAAAGTAACTTGTCCAAGTTTGCACAATAAATTTGGAAAATAAAAATAATTTTAACTTATTTGATAAGGACGTAAACATCATTTACTCAAAAACGAAAATTGTCAACCCTATTGAAAATAGCGTAAGTGACGACAGAATTAAAAGGTTAAAAATATACATATAATCTTTTATGTTAAAAATACCAGAAATAGTAAAATGCTATCTACACTTAAAAGATTATCTATTTCCTCACTCCCGTTATCAATATCCTATTTATATAATAAAGTGGACATTTATCCTTGTGCTAAATTCCTCTTGCATACAGAACTTCTTTTGTAAGTCAAGCAGAATCTCAAAGACATATAAAGTGGGTCAAACCATAAAACATGTTTTTACATAGACGAGGAAATATATCTCCTACCCACTTCGCTGACGACGCAATTTAGTCAACATTTTAGTCAACTTATCTCTTGGGAAGCGAATTTAACTCTTTGTATACAAAATGTTTCAACAAACGTAAATACCGACAAAACTTTGTATCACTTCATAAAACGTAAGTAACAAATGTACAATAAACTTTACTTTTACCGCTTAGCCAAGGTTAGATTGCGGATTTACTTGACTTATAAAACTTGAAGCGAAGTACAAAATTAGTGCAGTTCAATATAGCTAAGACAAGCTTTTGCTCGCGACTTCACCTACGTGAAATTTAATAATATAGCCTATGTTAGTTAGCGATAAATTCAAATCGGCCTAGTAGTTTTTAACTAATTTCAATACATACAGAAATAAAAAAAAATCTTTACAATATTATAAATATAAAGTACTTCGGAGTCTGAATGCAACAAACTCAAAAACTACTTAATGACTTATTACGTACATAACGGTCAAATTTACTATTAGCTGTGTGTCAACATGTATGGTTTGACTAACAATTTTCTATACAAAGAAAACAAAGACACTTACATTTTAAATTCCTCTAGCACATCAGCGTGGTACAGGAATTTTGGTGACATATCTGATTTACAGCAAAGTATTTTAAACAATTCTTTTAGTATCATATTTTATGTTAACACTAACTTGTAACAAAAGTATCAAATTAATTGTAAAATTATTAATAAGAAAGTAAAATTTAATACTCTGTACCACAAAGCACATTGTACGTTAGTGTACATTTTTAAACTGTACAGTCGCGAACACAATTTTAACAAATTATTTTTTTATACAATTCCACAATTCAATTTTTTGTACTTGTAAAACTTTGAATAAATACTGCGTAATGAAAGGTATATATTGTAGTTTTGTTATTACTTTTTCTGAAAGTCTTGATAAGGGCTATCAGGATAAAGTGTAATGATTCTTTGTCTGGTATCATGTACTGCGCATCTTTTGTTCTATTTATTGATATAACCTATACTAATAACCCTTCTTAGATTATAAGATAAGCATTTGTGAATTATGTTTGAATTATTAACATTGCTTAAAGTACCTACAGAAAAAAACGCCATGCTACTTTCTAAAGGTTGACTTTTACAGGGTACATATCAGAATTATTAACAGTGCCTATAGTACCTACAAAAGGGCATAAAGCTGACGTATACAGGTTATATATATTTTACGTCTAAATTTGTATTAACAACGAGCTATTGCCCGCGACTTCGTCCGCGTGGTATTTTAAAACATACAAACTATATAGATTACAAAAAGTTACGTATCCCTCGGGAACCGGACATTTCTCGGGGATGAAGCTTATCCCATGTGTACTCCAGACTTTGTTTTCTATTTGTGCCAAATTTAAATAAGATATGTTGAACCGTTGCAGAATGATCGAGTAAACATTAAAAAACTAAATTAACGAATCCCACGGGAACCGTAACTATTCCCGGGATAAAAAGTAGCCTATGTGTTCTTCCAGACTATGCTCTAAACCTGTGCCCAATTTCATAGAGATCCGTTCAGCCGTTTAGGCTACAAACGCTAACAAACATCCATCCATCCATCTAAACTTTCGCATTGATAATATAAGTAAGATAAACAATAGTGTCAACTAACGCTAACTTGGGCGTCGTATAGAGACTGCAAAAATGTAAAATTAATATAAGACGACGGTAGATGTAACTAAGTAGTTATCCCTTCCAGATAATCGTTTGGCGACGCATAGTCAATAGTATAAAAGAATCCAAAAAAATATTCCCAAATTCTCAAAACATAATGTAACCCATTCTTTCTCATAAAAACAAAAGTAAGGAAAGCTGGTTAAGTTTTATTTAGTAAGTAGATAACTTGTATTCGCCAGACATCATCTCGCAATAACTAGGATGTAATAAAATTATCAATTCGTCCATTAAGAGCGGTATGGCAACAGGTGTAATCAATAAATATCGAAGATGCCCGGGTCACCGGTACACGCATGCGCGTAAGTCTAGTACGCCCTATTAACGGTGAGTTCTCACTGTGCCAATACTTGTATTTATACATTGCCATCTCTCGTAATCGTTAAGAGACATTAACATATGTCACATTGGAGTGCCTATTTGTAATATCAAAAGAAAAATTACAGATTTCGGAAATAATTTGCGTTGCTAACAACGAAAATCGCATTTAAAAAAATTCTGTCTGTCTGTCTGCCTGTCTGTAAAACGCCTTTGCTTCGGGCAACCTCCGAAAAGGCTAGGCCGATTTTGACGGGACTTTCTCTGAAGGGTAGCTGATATAGACGGGCATAGTTTAGGCTACTTTTTTTTAAATTCTGCGCTGTCAAAATGGCGTAATTGGTCGTCCGATTTTGATGAGACTGACTGAAAGATAGCTGGTAGAATGTAGATGGATGCGGGAATGTATTGATGACATTTAAAAAAAAATCCGCGCCAACGAAGTTTACGGGCGACAGCTCCTCCAAAGTAAAAATGCTGTTAAAACTTAAGTGGCATAAAAATCTACGTTAAAACATATCCTGAGTAATTTATTAAATTAGCTCCTATTGAATATTGGCGTCACAATATAATAATAACGCTAGGATTAATCCTATAATAATAAATAATGATAATCCATTAATAACTCACTCCAAATAAATTCAGCTTTTAAGATCGGACACTTGTATATCGTAATATAAGGAAACATATGCAAATTATATCCATAAATGTCGATTTTGAAACACATTATTACTAAATTTGCTACTTAACTGCACTCATATTGAAGTCAAGTTTTATCTCTGGATTTTTGAAATCATCTGATCACCTTGCTCATAACATTAGGGTTTAATATTTTTTAGTTGTTTTTCACACCAATGACACTGCATTTGTGTAATAATGCGTACTCGTCAGTAGTATCATACCACACGTTGTACTTTTTGACCGACTTACCAAAATACCTCCTATTTAAATATTCAATTATGAAAATTCTTTTTTTATCCAAAAGGTAATGCTTGCAGGTGAGTCCAATTTTTATGTTTTTTTTTTATAATATAAGGTGGCAAACGAGCAAGCGGCCACCTGAATCCACCGAAATGGAAAGCAACCGCTGCTCATAAACATCCGCAGATGCGTTACCTACCCTTAATTGACGGAGGAGGAGTCGCACATAAAGAGGACATATCCCCTTCATAGGCGTCTCTTCCATCGTCAAATCCACTTTTCCTTCCCACCCTCTCCTCTTAAGAAAAGGGTGGAAATTAGGCCTCCGGCGCCACACTGATTAGACGAAATGCGGAATTGCTTTCACTTCACGCCTGTCTATGTGTGGTCGTGGTACTACACCGGGCGAACCAACCCATTCATGTGAAGATGTTAAAGCGGGCTCTACCACTATTAAAATGTTAGTGTAATTTTTGGAGTCAAAGACTACGGTACACTTAAGTAGTTTAGTTCAAAATCGCGTGACGAAAATTGGGGTCTATTTTGCTTGCTTTGATTATGTTATTAACTGTACCTCTCTGAGGGGATCATGTCGGCGGTGTCATCCTCCATAGCGTCATCAACAACCTCCACTTCCAGCTCCACCGGCGGCAGAGAACTCATAATGAAACGACCGCAGTTATTGCAAACTGTAACAATAGAAAAATCTATATTAATCTATACTCATGATAGCCTGGTACATCAACATAACTATTTTATTTCCTTTCATTCTAATTGAAGTGTTAAGCACTTGACACTGGTCCAATCCCCTGAGGGAGAGCCATTAACAAGAATTAGAACAGAACAGAAGTGTTTAGTTTTGATTCTGCTTATTATCTATAATAATATGATAAAGAAAAAAGATTTGTCTTTTCATAGGTACTAAAATAACTCAAACTACTGGGATGATTCCGAAAATTCTTACACCATTAAAAAGCTATGTTATCAGTGTGTAACAAGGCATATTTCAAGCGGACAAAGTCATGAGCAATTGCTAATATAAAATATGCTTGTAGAAAAAAGCAAGGTAGTTTTGAATAAAATGAAAATGTATACTAGAAAGTAGACAATTTTGATCTACCCTCTCATTTATGTCTATAGTAGCGACCCACCCTGATTTTGCATTGATCCATAAGTAATTTTGTACTGTTATACTATGTAGTGATAGTGTGAGAATAACAAATATAACATACGAGCTGTTGCCCGCGACTTCGTCTGCGTGGTATTAGAAAACATACAAACTATATAAACTACAAAAAGCTACGTATCCCTCGGGAAGCGGACATTTCTCGGGGATGAAGCTTATCCCATGTGTACTCCAGACTTTGTTTTATATCTGTGTCAAATTTCAATAAGATATGTTAAACCATTGCAGAATGATCGGGTAAACATTAAAAAACTAAATTAATGAATCCCACAGGAACCGTAACTATTCCCGGGATAAAAAGTAGTCTTTGTGTTCTTCCAGACTATGCTCTCAACCTGTGCCAAATTTCATGGAGATCTGTTCAGCCGTTTAGGCTACAAATATTGTAGTGAATAATAAATAGCAGATTGGCAGTGGGTCAAACAGTCAATGTACACTTACAATTCAATGAACTTTAACTTTTTCATTATCTTTTTAATTGTTCATCTGTTCGCTATTTTTGTAGATGTGAGGTCAATTCACATTACTTTATTGTTTTGTTTGACATTTGCACAACAATTACAACATTTCAAAGGTCCTTGAATTTGCTTAATTAGTACAAGGAAATTGTAACTTGAATATTGATAAGGTTTGTATTACGCTTTATAAATGTAGAACCGTAAGAAGTGCATTTTGAATTTTCTATGTAGAATTTTAATCATTCTAGTATCAAAGTAGGAAAGCTGCCCCCTTTAGTGACACCCATATTTGTTTTTTTTTCTGAAAATATTATAATATAATAGTATTTTTTGTTAATTTACTAATATTTCCTTTAACCATTCCAACTAAGCTCTAGGCTTGTGCTAGGATATGATTCAAGACATTAATCGAATGGCGGTATTCGAACCCTCGACCGCAAGTTCGGTAGTCCATACCCCAAACCATTAGGCTATTGGCACTAGTATGAGCATGACTTGCAATAAAAGACCTGGTTTAAGACACTAGTTGAAACAGGCCAGAGAAAGATTTACAGTAGTCATTAGAAATACAAAATTATTGCTGTTACAAAGCAGCTTATCTAAGAGTTTTATTTTTACATGTATTGAAATAACTCCAAAATAGATTCACCATTAAAACGCTATGTTGTCAGGGAATAACATAGGCTATCTTGTTTTATTATTTATGCAGGCTAAATCGCGAGCAACAGCTAGTGAATTGTAAAATGATTAATGAATTGAATAATGTTTTATAATTTTATATCCTCATATAGTCTATTATATTTTCTTATAATAATCTTCCTTGCAAAGCACTTGTACAAATAGGCTACACATTATAACACATTTTATTCATTAAACTAGCTTTTGGCTACAACTCTGTTCGCGTGGAATTGAAAAAAAAACAAAAACATGTAGCCTATGTGTTCTTCCAGACTATCCTCTACATCTGTACCAAATTTCATCAGAATCCATTCAGCTGTTTAGGCTACAAACTCTAACAAACATCCATCCATCGAAACTTTCGCATTTATAATATTAGTATGAAGTATGATTGATCAATACAAGAATTAAAAACATTGTATCTTTTGCCCATAACCTTATCTGCGCAGAATTAAAAACAAACTTAGTAACATCCATGTGTTTTTACATACTAAATCTATGCCATTTCATTGTAAAGCCATTCTAGAGCAACAAACGTCCATCCATCAAAATGTTTCCTTTATGGCATCAATTAAATATGGTTAAAGCAATCTGTTGGTTAAACTGTTTTTTTTTTCTTCTACAATAGGTTTTAGATTTATTACAAATAAATTATTGCACACCATCATCATCCACTTGTCCTTATCCCTTATGGAGGGTCGGCACAGTATGTGCTGCTCTTCCATACATCTCTATCAGTTGTCATATCTGAATCCACTCCTTTATTAAGCATATCTTCTTTCACACAATCCATCCATACTTTCTTCGGCCTTTCTCTTCCTTTGTAGCCATCCACATTCAATCTCAACACTTTCTGGTTTATGTCCCCATCATTTCGTTGCATAACATGTCCATACCACGCTAACCTTTTGCTTCTCAATTTCTCCACCACTGGCGCTACTTTCAAACATCCTCTAATGTACACATTCCTAACTTTATCCAATCTTGTCACACCACACATCCATCTTAACATACGCATCTCAGCCACATGCAATCTCCTTTCATCCGCAACTTTGGTGGCCCAGCATTCAGATCCATACAATACGACAGGTCTTATGATGGACTTGTAGATCTAAATTATTGCACACCGAGTACATCATTAAACATCTGTTGACACACTTTGCTTGTTACCCTTATTTATACTTAAATACAAGAATTCCTCGTACATAGAATGTTAAAAGGAGTATTAAAAGACCATTTTTCATACTTTTTTAAGAATAAAAAGATAACAATAATTAAAAACCAAAAATATAACTTAATAAATAATATTAACCCAAAATTAAAAAAAAAATGAGAGTAATTTTTAATCTAAGGAAAACATTTTTTTTTTCATTATCTTAACATTTTGCGTAATAATTAGACCTATCGGTATAATGGAATGGAACAGTATGATATGCTTTGTAGCATTAATTTTACATGTTAAAATTAAAAGTTGTAATGAAAAATGATTCCTGAAGTCATACTTCATGTTGAAGTCATGGCACGAGTGACGGAATAATACAATAACGTAACAAAAGAAAATATCTTTACCTTCGCTCTTTCAAAATTGTAAAATCATCCAATCCAATTGGATTGCTAAACCACGCTGAAGACTCCTTCGGAAGAAAATCTAAATAATTGAACACTGCATTTAATGTTTCAGATACCATCAGTTTTCAATAAAACGCACAAAAAACAAATTTTCACATCAGCTACAATTTCTTGTCCATTGGCACGAATCCACTGAATTTTTTGACATTTAGCTCCATCACAACGTGATAATATTATTCCCGTTTTAGAAAATATTCCACATGTTCTAGTGACTTTAAAGACGCATAAGAATTACGAACAGAAATTTTATTACTATTTTTAAATGATTTAACACCACAAAAATAAAAATATGCAAATTAATCGACTGTGAGACGGACAATCGACTCCACTGTAAAAAGTGTTGCCAGAAATTATTTTTCTATTCGTTTAAGAAATCAATAGCGAAACATAGACCACTCATCTCTATAATGTGTGGTTTACACTTTGCCAGTACAGTTAGTCAGTAACGTTCAATAACTGTACTGGCAGTGACCTGACACTCTATGACTGGCCGTTGCAACTCTTAAAACGTGCACTAGGCATAAATGGATAGATCATGGGATTGACGCCATTTATATCGTGTATCAACTTAAACGCGCCTGTTGGAGATAGCGACAGATAATTCTTTCTGTATCATACATTAAAATCAACACTACCATATTATAAAGTCAACCCCAAGATAACGAAAATCAAATAAGTACAACATACCCAGTCATACAGCCTTCCCAATTTAAATGACCGTCAAACTACTTCTGGTAAAAAAAAACATAAGATATCCTCTATGGATGCATAAAGTTCGTCGACAACGTCTCTAAATGTAGATCATTGGTTACGAATACTTGACTAGAAAATGAAAGACAAAAAATTAACAACATATATATTTATTACCTATAAACTAAAAAACATATTAAGCAATCATTAGTAAAGATAGACTATTTTTCATTAGCATTTTCCTTTTCTTCGACGAATCCTAGAGGCGGGAATTTTTCTAAAATAGGTCCCATCGTCGATGGATAAAAAGCCAAGAACTTGAATCTTTCGCCCATTTTATTTGGATCCACAAGCATTTCATATGCGCTTTTTATTTTTTCCTTATCTTCTTCAGACTTGGCATTATCCATTAACACCTTAAAAAAAAAATTAGTTATTAATATTTTCGCATACTTACTTCCCAACTATAAACTACTGAAAAAAATGGCAACATCACTGAAACAAATCTCACTATTGTTTATGGCTTGTTAAGAAACAATTCAGTGCAGTTAACAAACAGAAAGTGCCTTCTTTCTCTCCTTTTATATAAAAAAAATTCAATCTATCTCATATTATAATTCAGTTTTATTCAATTACCTGTAACCTAGCCTTTGCCTGTAATCTTTCTAGAAAGTCTTTCTGCTTCACAGGTCCAGCGACAATAGCATAATTTTCATCACCCGGTGCTTTGGAAGCTGCTATCCGAAGTTGACTGAAGTCTACATCGGCAGTGAGATCACATTCACCGGGATTTTCTAATGGATTTACTACTTTATGCTTATGAAAGGCCTAGAAATATACAAAAAAATATTCTAAACAATATCAATAACACCTTAACTGAAGTTAAGTCAACTTTTTGTATAAGATACAATCTAAATCTTATTAATATGGAAGTATAGATTAACTGATGCTAAACTGATCTTGATGACATTTGGCATAGATGTAGACCATAGCGTTAAAAACACATAGGCTACTTATGTACTTTTTAATTCTATGTGGGTAAAAACTAGTCTAGAAAAAATGTATTTTTGTATGTATTAAAATAACTAAAGCCACAATAGCTTAATGGTTTGGAGTAAGGACTGATCTTGCGGTCGACGGTTCGAATCCCGCCATTCGACTATTGTGGTGAAACATATCCTAGCACAAGCCTAGAGCTGAGTCGGAATGGTTAAAGGAAATATTAGTAAATTAACAAAAATCTACATATATTTTTAATTAAAAAAACTACTGGGCTGATTTTAAAAATTCTTTCAACATTTGAAAGGTAATTAGTCTGTGTGTAACATAGGCTATGTTTTTTTTTTATTGTTTACTATCATGTGGATGTAGTCGTGAGCAACAGCTAGTATAAGAAAGAATAAAAAGAACCCGTTACTGAGATACTTACTCTAAATGTATCTCCTTTCTCCCCCTCATGTCCATAATCAGCAATTAAAACCAAACCACCATGTTGGTCAACTCGTTGTGCTAATTGTCTAGCGATCCCTAAACTTCTTGCACTTATTTCTAATTCTGTTCTATCTCCGGCATCCAGTGGTGGTCGGATCAGAACTTTTGATGATTGTGTTTCTTTTCCTGATATCCTGTAGTATAACTTTCCATTGTCATCCATATCTATTAGAAGTTCTCTCCAACCATCTTCTGTTTTCTGTAATTATTAACAATAAGAATTGTACAGTTAGTAAAAGCACTATAAGAGATATCAATCTTACTAATATTATAAATACGAAAGTTTAGATGGATGGATGGATGGATGGATGTTTGTTAGAGTTTGTAGCCTAAACGGCTGAACGGATTTCGATGAAATTTGGTATAGGTGTGGAGGATAGTCTGGAAGAACACGTAGGCTACTCACTTTTGTTTTTTTTAATTCCACGCGGACGGAGTCGCGAGCGAAAGCTAGTATTAAAATAGATAAATATTCTTTAACACCAGGATGTTGCCAATAAATAGTCTGTTTATGGTTTCTGTCTACTTAGGTTTAACCCTATATTCGTCAGCTGTAGTATTACTTTTGTAATTAATCCTTACCTATAGAGCTAAGGATTATATGGTTTCAATTTACTAAGTCAAAAATCTAAAATTTTCTATATGTATTTACAGGTTTAAAAACCTTATGTACTCACTTCAAACTTATGTATAGGCAGTACATCAAAGAATTCATGTGCCATGTACCATGAGAAGTTATTTGGTACTTTCTTCAAATCATTGTACCAGTAAACTTTGATTCCACTTATTGTTTGACCCTGAAAAAAGGATTAAAAAATATATATAAAACATATTCCCATATAATGTCTTTATGTTTAATCATTGTTAAGTTTAAAAATATTTTGTTTCTAACTAGCTTTCGCCCGCGACTCCGTCCGGCGCGTAATTAATAAAAAAACAAAAGAAAGTAGCCTATGTGTTCTTTCAGACTATCCCCTATATATATGTCAAAAATCATTGATATCCCTTAAGCCATTTCGGCTACAAATGCTAACAAACATCCATCCATCTAAATTTTCGCATTTATAATATTAGTAAGATTAAAAGAGCCAATCAAAATTGTAATCTGCAGTAACTAAACTACAAAAAAAAACTCAAAAACAACCGGGGTAATTAAAAAAACACCATTAGAATACTAAATTTTCTATGAGTAATGTGTTTCATTTTATTATTATGAGATACTGTTTAAAAAATAGTTTTCTTACCTCATAGTAGTGTGGTGACTCAATGTTTGTAGCTTTATGTGTAAGACATAGTCTTTGGGCTTGTAACATTTGCATTGTCTCTGATATCTCAACAAGATGTAAGGATAAGTCCCCTGATTTATAGCCAAGTCGATTAATAACCTTAAAACAACATATTTCATGTGTAGATAATTTGAATGCAATGGATAAACAATACATTGTGGTTGTCAGACTTGTAAATAATAAATAGTGTTTATTACCCTTAAGATATCCACTAATAGTGTACCATTACCAGGTCCAAGTTCAACCAGTTGTAGAGGTTTACCTGAGCCCATCTTTTGAGTCTCCGCGTAAAACCAAATTGCAAGAATCTCTCCAAAAAGTTGGCTGATTTCCGGCGAAGTTATGAAGTCGCCGGTTTCACTTATTATATCTTTTTTCATATAATAGCCTTCAGTTGGATTTGTAGAAATAATGTGCATATATTCCGCAACCGTCAAAGGTCCATTTAATCGTAGTTTTTCTTTTATAATCTCCATCAAACTGGGCGCAGTACCAGGAGCAGGCATTTTCAAAGTATTGGGATCTGGTCTTTTTACGATTTTGTATCCTTTGTTTCGCTTACTTAATGTAGCATAAAAGATTGGCCTCGTGCATATTCGATATAAATGTCGGGCATTCATTTTTTAAAACAATAACTATTTTTTACAGGTTATTACAGCTGGTTTTTTATTTGTATATTATTAATTTTTATTGTCAATGTCAATGCCATAGAAATGACAGATGATTTGACGAATGGCATTTGTCTTTTACAGATTATATATTCGATCCAAATCGCCTTTTGTCATTAACTTTGAGAACTATCTTAACAAAACAAAATTAAACTAATTCGCTGTTTTTCGTATAAAGCCTTACGTTACTCTCGCCTATGCTAAAAATTAATATAAAGTAGCAAAAACCAGGTTCGATTATTTGTGTTGACATATGTCACTGTCATTGTGTTAATGTTTTTATTTCATAAAACACATGTATTTATTTTTATTGGTTATGTATTTATTTCAATTTATTCAGATAGAAAAAAGTGATACCTAATATTAATAAAAAATAACAAAATCCTGCTAGGCATAATTACTGCTAGTTTGTTAATCATTATACAGATTTCTATCTGTAACCTACGTTTTGGTTTTGTGTTGATAAATACATAGGTCTTCCCACACGTGTACTCCGATATTCTTATAAATTGTTATTGATATAAAAACATAATGCCTGAAGACGATACTATGGATACCGATAACACTAAATATAAAGATGGTGTAAATAAAAACGCACGTTTGATTGTGCGAAACATTTCTTTCAAAGCCACTGAAGATTCTTTGAGAGAACATTTTTCTTCTTATGGAACCGTAGAAGAGGTGAAGTTGCTAAAAAAACCTGATGGGAAACTTGTAGGGTCTGGTTTTGTTCATTACACACAGGTCCCAATGGCAAATAAAGCTTTAACAGCTACAAATAAAAAACCTTTCATGGGTAAGTTTTAATATTATAGTACTTTAGAGTTAATTTACTCAAAAGATGTATATTTTTTTTACTATGCTAGTTTTGGTTTCATCAGGTCGACCAATATTTGTATCATGGGCTGTTCCAAAACATAAATATGTTCAGGAAGAACATAAAGTAAAGCATGATGTCAAGGTAGACAGCGCACCATCACAAGATTTTGAAGAAGGTATGTATTTGTGATAATAACAATGTTATATTTGTTTCCACTCTTCTATGGTTTACCAACATGATTTTGATAATGTTGGGTAAGGGCAGATATAATTTAATAATGGGATTCTTGATTCTCTAGAAGCAAGGGCGGACCCAGGATGGGTCATGAGCATGTCAAGAGCTTGACAAATTATATTTACATATTTTGTCAAGCTCTTGACTTGACCATGACTATGTGATCCCCTGGATCCGCCCTTCTCTAGAAGTGGCATCAACTTTCTTTTCCTACCCCATTGTGTCACTCATGCTCTCCTCTTTAATAAAAAAAAATATTACAATGGTTATAGTTTACTCTAATAAAAAAAAACAAAGAAAATATGTTTCATCATGAAATATGTCCTATCTTATTTATTCTCATATAATGTTTCCTGTGACTACAATTTTGTATTTAAAAGTAAAGTTGCATGCTAAATAATGGTGTATTGTTTTTATTCACAGTAAAAAGAGAGATTTTAATGCCAGAAGAAGAAGAGAAACATAAAATACAGAGAATAAATAGAAATGCTCGGCTAATTGTAAGAAATGTATCATTCAAAGCCACAGAGGAAACTCTGAAAGAACATTTTGAGCCATATGGTGAAGTACAAGAAGTGAAATTGCTTAAAAAACCTGATGGAAAGTTGGTTGGATGTGCTTTTGTACATTTTAAAAATGTTCCAATGGCAAAGAAAGCATTATTGAATACTAATATGAAACCTTTCCTTGGTAAGTTTTAATTTACAAAAGTACATTGTATTAATAAATATTTAGTTTAATTTAGTGTACTAATTTAGTGATATCTATACTAATATTAAAAAGGGGAAAGATTTGTATTTCTATCTGTGTTTATGCCTCTTATTATTATGGACATAATGAAACGCCGGTACTTAGCTTCATGGTTGTTTAATTACTATATTACATTTTGGTTGTAATAACAATGAATAGATTAGTGCGAGATACGATGCATGACCGAGCAGATTGACAGACGAAATGCAAGAGAGTGAATGAATGTACAATAGGGATGTCCGTGCGACGCTGTTGCTAGTGATGTTCGTATTCGATCATTAGGGATCCATATGAAGGTGACATAGGCGCCAACAATCTGTATTGAAATAAAACAACATGTGTACTTGCGGTACAGATGCGCTTTGTTGTTAAATCGCATTTATGATAATAAAAACGATCTCCTGGTTGTTTTAGCAGCCAGATGCGATAGTGCAATAGTGCGACGATTTAATTTCTTACACTGTAAGAAATGTGTTGAAGTGTAATGTAAATAAAATTGTTTTCTTCTCTTTATTATTAGGATTACTAACACTAGGCAATAAGCTTTTTTTACTAACAAAATATGAGATTTTCTTGAAATAAAGATTTATTATTATTATTATTATTAAAACCTATTGAACCACTTTTAAAAATTCTTGCACCATAAAAAATATGTTGTCAGTGAGTAACAAAGGCTATCTTTACTTTTTTTTTAAATTTCATGCAGGCAAAGTTGTGTACTATTATAAAATTGAAAGATTTGTATTTTATTATGTATCGAAATTACCAAAAAAAACTACTGGGCCGATTATTTTAAATTCTTACACTATTACAAAGCTATGTTATGACTGAGTAACATAGGGTATGTTATTTTTCACATGGACGAAGACGCAAGCAACAGTTAGTTTAGTAATAAAAGTTTACTAAACAAGCAAATTTAGCTTCCCAATAATTTTAATTACTATAATGTTCATATTTGGCTGTTTGACTAACAAGCTTGCAGACAATTTTGCTAAACTCTTGTCATAATGTTACAGGTAGACCGATCTCAGTGGACTGGGCGGTGGCTAAAGATAAATACATGCAGCATGTGGTCAGCCAGCAAATTGAAATGGAGGAGAAAATAAAGAAAGAAGAATCTGACAGTGATGTAGAAGATGACACACCTCTTAATATATCTAATGAAGAATTGAAACAGGAAGTTAAGAGTAAGTGTTATAATCATATGTTAGAAGCCCGTTGATCGCTCGGGGTTTGAGTATTTGACTTGTAATCCACAGGCTTGGGTTTGAATCTCATCATGTGTCAATGTGATTTTCGTTTTTTTCGAATTCCATATATACATAATTTACCCGACGCTCTTACATCGAAGGAAAAAATCTTGATGCAACCTGACATATCAACCAAAAAATTCAAAGAAATGAGTGAAGTCAATGCACAGTGTTCCAGCGCAGTTGACTATGGCCTTGTCATCCTTTCTTGGGTAGGCTGCGACTCCCTCAGTGGGGACATATACTGATCATTATCACCGTCACCAGCTCACTATATTTTTTTTTTTTTTATTTATAATATAAGGTGGCAAACGAGCAAGCGGCCACCTGAAATCGCCAAAAGGGCGAAGCGACCGCTGTCCATAGACATCCGCAATTGCAGATGCTTTGCCTACCCTTATACGACGGAGGAGGAGACGCACATAAGGAGGATATTTCTCCTTCCTATGCTTCTCCTCCACCGTCAAATCCACTTCCTCTTCTCAACCTCTCATAAGAAAAGGGTGGTAAAGAGAAAGGGACTTAAATTAGGCCTCTGGCACCACACTCATCAGACGAAACACGGAATTGCTTCCATTTCACGCATGTCTTCTATGTGGTCGTGGTATTACTGGGGGCGTGCCGGCCCTGCAGTGCTAACATGTTAAAGCGGGCACTACCACTGTTAAATGTAAATCATATAAAAATAGAATAGAAAAATTATAACTTGGATTTCTTAATTTGTATTTTTTAACTAGGTGAATCAGGTGATGGTTCAGATAGTGATGATGAAGATGACAAGTCTGATGAATCTGATGAAGAGGAAGATGATGAAAGCAATGATGAGGATATTGATGAAGATGAAGATATGGATGATGATAAAAGTGTGACCAGTGCAGTCGCTGAGAGGAAACGGTATAGTGATGTATATATATCTTTTAATGTTACAAAATGACATTTTTAGGTTATAGTAATATTGATTGTTTATTCTTTCTTGAATCAAAGTACAGTAGAACCTTGATAAGTTAAAGTCCAAGGGAAACACAAAATATTTTAAATTATAGAGGTTTTAAATTATCAAGGATATGTTGTGAAGGTTGGGCTCTGATGGGAAGGGAACACATTTTTTTTTTAATTTATGAAGGTTTGAGTTATCGAGATTCTACTGTTTTAAGAAATGATGTTATTAATTTAAAACATAAATAATTAACTGTTAAATTGTTTTAACCATTTTGCATGTTCTTAATTTTTTTTTAAATAATTTAATTATGTCTATTCAAATAATTTTCAGTATACAACTGAATGATGCTGAGGATGGTCTGACAGTGTTTCTCAGCAATATACCGTTCAGTGTGGATGATGAGCAGCTGCGCCAGTTTGCTGAACAAACGGGACCTGTCAAGTATGCACTGATCTGTGTCGACAAGTTGACTGAACATTCTAAGGGATCTGGATTTGTTAAGTTTGTTGTATGTATCTGCTATTTATGTTATTTTAAATGTTTTTGGTTGTCTGTACTAATATTATAAGGAGAAAATATTTGTATTTTTTGTATGTATTGAAATAACTCAAAAACTACTGGGTCGATTTTAATAATTTTTTGACCAATAGAAAGCTATGTTACGACTCAGTAACATAGGTTATGTTTTTTTACTTTTTTCAATTCCACGCGGACGAAGTCGCCAGCAACAGCTACTGTTAAATATTTTGAAAGTAACAGAGATTTGTTTATAAAATGTTATTGGAATCATGTTGCATTATTTTCAATTGATCGTAGTTTTTATTCTTAAAATATAAATATAAAACAATAAATAAACTATGTACATTGTAGTTAATAGACAAAATTATTATAAACATTTAATTTGGTACGTCAACCACAAGAGGACTTGTTTACGCGATGTGCCAACTTAACCAGTACAACGTTTTTTAATGTTAAAACCATTTTCACCAGAATCAACATGACGCAGAGAAGTTCCTATCCCTGTCAGCAGATCAGCTCCGGTTGGAAGGTCAGGTGATGCTGGTGAAGCCTGCACTGAAGAGGGAGAACCTGGAGAAGGGCAGCAAGAAGCAGCCCAAAGATAACAGGAATCTCTACCTTGTTAAAGAAGGAGGTATGATTTTGATTATTGGTTTTTTAATTATTATTATAAAAAAAAAAACATTAACGGACTAATCGAGTAGCCTAAGTGTTCTTTCAGACTACCTTTTATAAGTCCCAAATTTAATCTTGTTCAACAGTTTAGGCTACAAACTCTAACAAACATCCATCCATCCATCTAAACTGTCACGTTTATAATATTAGTAAGAGTAATTGGTAAAATATGTACAAACTAATTCGTACATTATGGTATTGTTCCAATCTTATGGTATGAAGTAAGTAAATGTTTCTCCCTTAGTAATTGTACTAAAAGTTTTTTTTACTTTTTTTTCACTGGCCATATTTTTTTTTAAACTTTTAACTTGCTTTAGCCACTTATACCTTTCAAATATGGTCATATATGTTTTTTTAATGGTAAATTCATCATAATACAAACTAAACATGCAAGAAATTCAAAGATATGTGAAATCAAACCGCAGTATGGTTGACTAGGGCCTAGTCAACCCGAATGTGTGGTTCACACTTGGCCAGTACAGTTAGATAGTAGGATTCAAACGGAAGTAACATAATATGAACACTAACTGGCGCCAGTGAGTGTTCATATTGTGTTTCGAGCACCTTTCGATTTGCCGCAACTAAGTGCTGGAATGACCTTCCACTTCCAATTAAAAATTCGAAATCTGGTGACTTTTAAATTTAAATTAAAAACACTTTTACTTTTTACACAAAAATCTAGCACAACAAACAACTTTAGACAACAAAGATTTACGAGTATTATCAATCAATGGTTCTTTCAAATTGACAGTGACAGGCCGTGACGCGAGGTTCGTATGCAAAGAAGTGACGTCATGGGACGTTTTGGGGGGAAATTAAAGAGTTGTTTTTATTTACGTGTTTTTTTATTGAAATAATGAGTATTATATTTTATACTATTTTTTTTTCGTGTTCATACATGGTTTATCTACAAAATATAGGCTATTCCAAAAATTAGGAAACATCCCCATTGTATATGTCAAAATTATATTATGACAATGTACATATTATTTTGTAAGGGAGAATGAGTTTGACAAAACATGTCATCATCTCCCCTGCCTTCTCCTACTCCCGTAGGGTCGGCGCACCGGGTTTTCGTCCTCCAAAGCATTCTATCATCCGTCATCTCAGTCATCACTCCCTTCTTTATCATGTCACCTTTCACGCAATACATCTATCTCTTTCTACGTCTACCTCTACCGATGTACCCCTCCACATTCATAACTAACATCCTTCTTGTCACATGCGATTCATCCCTTCTCATAACATGCCCATACCACTCTAACCTTTTACTCCTAATTTTCTCAACCACTGGGGCTACTCTAAAAGTACCTCTAATCTACTCATTTCGTATCTTATCCAATAATAATAATAATGTGTAAAACATGTGTGCCTTCTATTTTCAATGGCCATGGAAGATCAGCACATATGCTGAGTGTATCACCAATAAATAAATATTGGATTGGTCCAAGGCCAAGTGTGAAACAGGTGTAAGTGTATACACATAGCCCCTCAGTGTCTGTATGAGGTTCTTTATACCCTGTGATGATGATGCGCCCTGTCCAGTGGTGGTGGCGGGCACGCGCGCGGCTCTCGGCGTCTCCTCCTCCGACATGGCGAAGAGACTCGCCCTCGAGCGCAGCAAGACGCAGATGTTGAAGAATTTGAACAGGTATTTACATAGGGTGTGAATAAAAAAGTGCGTAAATCCCAAGATGTTTATTCTGACAAATTATTAACACAAAAGTAAGGTATTTGGTGCATGATTTTTACACTCTTTCTACGCTACATATAAAATTTACATTAAGGGCCTGTCCCAGAATTCTTGTAAATTATCAGATCCAACGTTTAAAATATGTGATGGAAGCTCTTCGTTAGCCCGTGCACCGAAATAATGGTAGTCGATTTCATGTTATTATTAGGTACTAGCTTTCGCGCGCGACTCCGTCCGCGTGGAATTTAAAAAAAAACACAAGTCAGTAGCCTATGTGTTCTTCCAGAGTATCCTCTATGTCTATGCCAAATTTCACCGAGAGTCCAGTCGTTTATGCTACAAACTCTAACAAACATCCATCTATCTAAACTTTCGCATTTATAATATTAGTAAGATATTGTACTGGAGTTTTGTCTTTATATCTATTCTTTTCGATGTATATGTAGAATCTCCTAACTTCAATAGCGTAAAAATACATAGCCTGGGGTGTGTCGTAACTGTAGTGCTTTTTGTTAAAGAAAGAATTGTCCTAAATATGTGCCACAGAGTGGTGTGTTTTTACGCTTTATTATCATAGCATAGATAGTGCAAGAATATCTTACATTATGTGTTACACGGAAGAGCGGGACTTCCTAACACAAGTGCCTGTTGGTTACTTAAAAGGAAGTCCCTGCAACTGATTGATTTGTAACTTACTTGATTTAATATTAAATATTATTTTATTTATTTTTTAATGTTAACAGATTCGTGTCCCGCTACCGGCTGGTGGTGGCCAACTTGCCGGCGCAGTGGGACGACGCGCGGCTGCGGCGGGAGTGCGCGCGCGCGGCGCCGCACCACGCGGTCATCGGGGAGGCACGAATCATGCGAGACCTCAGGGCTCCCGTCGACCGCACTGGGAAACATCCGTCAGTACTTTTAAGGAAATTTAACTAGGGTTACATAAAAACAATGGTAGTGCCCGCAAACATCTTCGCACTGCAGGTCCGGCTTGCTTACGGCAAATCACAACCACATAGAAGACAGGCGTCAAGTGTCATCCCACCAGAATGTATTGAAATAACTCAAAAACTACTGGAGCGATTTAAAAAATTCTTGCACCATTAAAAGCTACGTCTTCACTGAGTAACATAGATTATATATTATTTCTTTATTTCACACGGAAGAAATCACGAGCAACATATATATTCTTACTAGCTGTTTCTGGTGACTTTGTCCACGTGAAATTAAAAAAAATATTCCTGATTTGTTCCAGATCTAAAGGCTACGGTTTCGTAATGTTCACGCGGCACGAGGACGCTCTCGCCTGTCTCAGGAAACTGAACAACAACCCTGATATCATTGACAGGAATAATGTGAGTACAATCTAATTTCGTCTCATTTTTTCAGTCAAATTAATTACATAATATATTATATGGTAGTTGGCAATTTCGTAAACAATGTCTTTAAAAGCGCCATATTTTGACCAGGTAGCAACTGTACCAGTGAACATCGCCATTGTTATAATTTCAAACTTTATTTTTAAATAATCTCGTTTGGTGATCGCAACATCAGAGAATTTCAAAAGAAGTTGGGAATTTTTAACTTACTGGTAACATTAAAACCTATCAGGCGCCCACTCAAAACGTCTTGTTTAATCTTTGATGGTATTCAGATGTAGTATTTTTTTAAGATAAGCGAGTAATTGGTAATTTTATAAGGAGTGTGTTTTTTTTTACAGAGACCGATAGTGTCATTTTCTATTGAAGATAGAACAGCTTTAAATGCAAGGAAGAAGAGATTAGAAAAATCCATAGCTAATAATCCATTAGCTAAGAAAGAGACACAAACAGAAGACTACGGTATGAATAGAAAGAGAAAGCTTAAAAGGGCACCAGACGAGAGTTATGTGAAAAAGGGTAATTTCGGAAAGAAATTCAAAGATCAAAATGGCGTCGGGAAATTCGTGAGGTTGCCAAAAACGGCAGATGTGGGAGAATATACTGGTTTAACTGCTAAAGAAGGGAGTCAGCATAAAATGAGAAATAACCATAAACTACGAGCCCAACAGGAAATCCATAGGCAAACTGTCAAAGATGAGAAGAAAAAGAATAAACGAACATGGCGTCTCAAGATGGCGGCCCGCGAAAGAATAAAATTACCAAAACAAAAAATCAATAAAAATAAAGCACCAAGCAGGAGGAAGAAGAATAAGAATGTATAAGATTATATAATAAATGATGAGAACATTATAAAAGACGTTTTATTTTACTGGTTTCACAATGATGAACTTTTGGCGGCAGTTTCTGTCATATCGATTTTAATTTTCCATGTTTTAAAAGAAGTTATTTTAAAATTTCACGCTCTAGGGATCCCTTGTTCCCTTTTCCTAACCAAAGTTACCTATCCAGTTAGATAAAAATATTTTTTTTCGCAGTTTGGTAACTAGTTTTGAAAGAGAAATAATTTCTTCCACTTTTGTAACCAGTCAAGTTTTTGTGTTTGGCCACCCAAACACAAAAACTTGACTGGTTACAAAAGTATCCACCATACATCCATAATGTATCCACTACATTTTGCTAGTTTCATGCCATCAATCCTATTAAAACGATCAGCTATCAAGACCAAATACCAATAGTGCAAATTCATATAGATCATGACATTATTTTGGTCGCAGTTTTTTATGTTTTAAGCCCCGAAGTCCTGCCAATTCCATGTTTTATACCATTAGATGACAAACGACTAAAAGGCCTCCGACACGCATTTATACAAGCGCCGGATACCAAACCACTGATACTACTTTGCCTGAAAGCGCGCGGTCAATTTCACTCTGGCGAACATCACACAGACATTATTTGGAATATTAAGGCAAAATAGTTCTTGTAATAGTTATAGATGGCCCGGAAAATAAAAAAAGTGTTTTTAACCTTTTGGTTACGAAGGCGGAAAAAAATGTTCCTCTTTCACAACTAATTGCCAAACGTATAAAAATGCTTTACCTAACTAGTTGGGTAATATTGGTTAGGAAAAAAGAACAAGGGCGAGGGATTGAAACAACGTTATTTTTTCAAACAATTTTATTATCAGATACAGAAAGTAAAAAACTTATTTATTAAATTAAAACGCACCAAATAATATTACTTATTATTAAATTATTAATTATAACAGTGTTATAGAAACCGCAAACCTTACATTAAGTTTAAGTTTTATAACTTTACTTAAAAGTTTATTTTAAAACAAGCTTTTTAAAAGTCAAGGATAAACAATAAACAAAATCTAAATATATGTAAATTATCACAGAGTAGTTAGGCGGTAGCTCTTTTCTTTTCTTGTATACTGTCATGTTGTCTCTCAGAGGCTTTCTCGCGGACGACGGTGGTGTGTTCGCGCAGGTGAGCCAGCACCAGATCGCGGTACTCGTCTGGATGATGCATGTAGTGGAGTACGTGGGGAGAGTTCTTCCAGCACTTCCAGGTGCACTGTAAAGATATAATCAATACTGTAATTATGTAAATGCAAACATAGGTACAAATTAATATTTGTCTATCGATAATGACATCTATGCGAAATAGTAGTTTTTAAATAAATTAATAATGCCTCGTGAAACAGGATATCGCTAGATCTTTGTGAGAAATTAGCGGACGATTGTCAAGTATAGCGATTTAATGCATTGCAAATCCTTGTAAATTATTATCAAGATTTCGTCGTCTATTGTCAGAACTTCCTCATAAAGGTCACCTTTATCCCCATCTGTAGCCACGTGTCGTGAGCGTTCTGTATGTTTGTCTCAGCGCCGACAGGGTCGCTACTGGACAGTAGGAAGAGTCCGGGCGCGCGGCACGGTGTTGAGTAGTACGTGTCAGATGCGAGCTTGTACTGCGCTGTTACGGAACTGAACACTTTCAGATATAATCTGTGGATGTAAAATGTAATATGTATTAATCTTAATTATTTAATTAAAAAGAAACCTTATAAACCGATTCTAAAACACAGATCGCCATGACAGCTCTGGTTTATTTATACTCTTTGTCTATTTTTATTTCCAAAGGATGTATTACGAATTTTTGCGGAAAAACAGCAAAGTCACTGAAAAAATCTAATACTTTGTTGATCATGTTACGAAAACGTTACGAATATTCATGAAAAACTATCTCATTTGCTCAGTTTGTATATTAAAAATCCCTAAATTAAGGTAGACTTCAAGCATCTCGATGACCAATGGAAGACACCAAATTATAGTCAAACAAAATAACAGTTTAGTAGAAACTGCAAGTAGTAAATGTTAATAATACTTACTCTAATGTGGAATGTAATGTACTACGCAATAGTTTGTTATTAGGGAAGAGCGCGTGCGGCACGCCCACAGTGACGGCCGTGAGGTCCGCCACAGAGTCCCATACTTGTGCTTCCACACGGTCTAGTACCGGCTGATATCTAAATATAAGTAAAACAAGAATAAACAATTTTTTTACAATTAATCTATAGAAAATTGACGGCTGTAATTTTTTTGTGTGTTTTACATTGAGTTCAGTTTACAATTACTTCTATTTTATGTAGTTAATTAGATAATTGCACAACTGGTAATAGAGAAAAGGACGCTTATTAAAGCTTGCATCTGGTTTATAGTCTATGGTCAACGGTCACTTTGCTATTTTGAAGAATTCCGGTGGCTGCTTGCTTTTTGTCACCCAAAAGATTTCAAACAAAAAAATCTCGTAAATTCAATTTCGATTATTTTTTTTTGCAGTAATCGGCCTCACGTTTACGAAGTGACAAAATAAATGAATGCTTATTATTTTCTTATTTATTTATAAAATAGTTTAGAATATCCTGCTTTTAAATTCAAGGCCAATGTTACTTATCTTTATAAGTTATTTTATTTTTCAGCTGTTTCGAACAATGGGTACAAAATGTGAGTATTTTAATCGTTTTCCTGTAAACGATAAAGCAGTTTTTGTTATAAAGCGTTTTATTGTCTGTCAGTGTAATTAAAGGAAATAAAAAAGAGGGTTTGCAAAAGAGGTTATGTATGTAGCTGTTGCTCGCGACTTCGCCCGCGTTAAATTAGAAAAGTAATAAAAAATATAGCCTAGATTATTCACTGATAACGTAGCTTTTTAATGGTGAAAGAATTTTTGAAATCTGACGAGTAGTTTTTGAGTTATTTCAACACGTACAAAAATACAAATCTTTCCTCGTTAACTATTATAGAATATAGTATAGATGTTCTCTCATTCGCACTGAGAAAAGTGATTGTTCATCATCATCATCATCACCAGCTCACTATACGTCCCCACCGAGGGGCTCGGAGCCTACCCTAATCAGGGGTGACTAGGTCATTGTCATCCACGCTGGCACACTGCAGGTTGGTTAACTTCACAAATATCTTTGAATTTCTTTGCCGATACGTGCAGGCATCACGATGTTTTCCTTCACCGTAAGAACGTCGGGTAAATTATGTACATATGAAATTTCTAAAACTAACATTGATACAACGGGATTCGAACCCAAGACCTGTAGATTGCAAGTCAAGTGCTTAAACCACTGAGCCACCGAAACTCAAAGTGATAGTTATTTGCATTTTAATTCTTATTTTTGTATATTGCTTTACCTTCTTACTAATATAAAATGCGAAAGTTTAGATGAATGGATGGATGTTGGCTGAACGGATAATCTACTCACTTTTGTTGACCGACTTCCCAAAAGAAGGAGGTACTCAATTCGTCTGTATGGTTTTTTTATGTGTGTTACGGCGTAACTCCGCCGCTAGTGGACCGATTTTGATAATTCTTTTTTTGTCCGAAAGGTAATGCTTGCAGGTGGGTCCCATTTTTTCGTTCCACGCGGACGTAGTCGTGGGCTAAAGCTAGTGTTACACTAAAGATAATGGATTTTGTAATCAACTAAGTAATATATTATGTGCGTAACGAAACAATACTTCGACATCTAATTGTGCATGAGGTCAAGGTCAGAATTTTAAATGAACAGCTACACAATAAAACAAATTAAACTGACTTTAAGTAAAAATCTTAAACATACTTACATTTTTTTATTTTTAACAGCATATACTAGTCCCTCCGACCACACGTAGCCGCCGACAGAGAAACCATGCACCACGAACTTGTTACCATTATTTGCCATAAACTTGATTAAATCCCGAGCCACCAACTATGAAGAATTAATTCCTTGTCTAAATATGAGAATTACATGCCTTTTAACTTGCCAGACAAAAATTAACTATAACCCCTTACGTTACGATTCATTTTACTTCATCCAGGAAAGTTCAAAGTTGTAGAGTCAAATTTGAGGCAGGCAGGTAGGATAGAAAAAAATAATTTATTTGCCGAAGAAGTACGGGCTAAAGGAAGATTAAAAAGGGGGATTCCCTGTCACATGTCATAAAGGTAGGGCATGATTTTAAGGAAGAGCTTTGACCCCTTACCATGGGGTAGTTTTGCATCTGTATTACAGATAGGGTAATGTTTTGTGTTCGTAATTTAAAAAAAAATCAGAATTCTGTAACGCTGTGTCAACACAACCTTTTTACTACATTAGAATAAATGTTTGAAGCTCACAAGCCAAGGAATTTCATTATTGACATTTCCGCTAATTGTATCGGAGTCTCTGAGTTCAAGTTAGTAATTTAAAATTTCGATGAGGTATTGTCGCTAAGCTGAAGATTATTTAATTTACGGACAAAAACATGTTTTGTTATGTGTTAATTAGATAAAAGAACGATCAATTCTAAAGCTACAAATTTTCGTGTGCAAATAATTCCATTTTATCCGCTATGAAAACGTCATATCTGATGAAGTGATAAAGAATTGACGTAAATGTGATGATCAAATATTGGATGAAAAATCTTACTAATATTATAAATGTGAAAGTTTAGATGGATGGATGTTAGAGTTTGTAGCCTAAACGGCTGAACGGATTTCTATGAAATTTGGCATAGATGTAGAGGATAGTCTGAATGAGCACATAAAGGCAATTCACTTTTGTTTTTCTTTCAATTCCACGCGGACGGAATCGCGGGCGAAAGCTAGTAAAATATAAGTTCTAATTATTTCAAGGCGTCTACGCCACGTAACTTTTGATATATTATGTACATCTTTATTAGGACAAATACTTAGTATAAGTCGTTTCAAATATCTTAGCGGCTCAGTTGTGTTCTGTTCTACTCGTGCGATATTCAAAGCAACCAATACATTTGACAACTATTGAAAAGACACATCAAGACAAAGAATTACATATTTAAAGAGATTTAGGACCTGTCCCAAGACTGGCTGATAGAGGCTCAGATAGCTTTTAAAATATCACTGTCAATTAAGGAAACAAATTCCGATATTTCCATCCCATATTTTACACGTTGGTTTGTTATCAGACAATTTACAATTTGGTAGGACAGGTAACTCTTTTCGTCGTATAATATTGAATTTTTTTTCTTACCTTTACTCCATTCATAGGTCGCATGAGCTGCCAGGGTGTACAGAAGACGGAGATGACGTCATAGCCCTGCTCTAAATACAGTTCCGCGTATTTCAGAACGTGTTTCGGTTTTGATAACAACCAGCTCAACATGATACACATGGGTTTGTTTAGTGGTTCTGCACATCTAGAGAAACAATATTTAAAAACAAAAGTTATGAAATTAAAATTTAGTTATTTTACAATCATTATCTTATTAAATATTATCTCTTACTTTTAAATCGCTTCTTTCTGAAATTGCCAACCCTCACTATAGACTAGGCCTGGTAATAAGGGAATATTATGATAGAAATAAAGTATAACTGCTTTATGTATAGGGCTGGAGAGTAAAAATGGTAGTCGTATAGATAGATGGATGGATGTTTGTTAGAGTTACCAGCCTAACCGGCCAAACGGATATTAATAATAATTGGCACAGATTTAAAACATAGTCTGGAACAACACATAGGTACATTACACCCGCGCGAATAGTGTCGCGGGCTAGTTCAGTATGAAATTACACCAAGTTTCAGGTTTTAGTGCCACCAGCGCCCTGGGCAAGAGTTTAGAGCCCCGTTTTTTACCAAGGCTTTGAGGGCGTTAACAGAACCACGTGAGACAATGCAAGTCTAGTTACGCCCTTTTTCGTCCAGCGCCCTGGACGGTCGCACAAGCGTTTACATTAATTTGAATGGATGTTAGAAACATCCTTTAATTTACTTTCTCTCTCGTGGTGAATTCTATCAAACTGTATATTTGTACTCACTTGAAGTAGCGAAATCAAGGAGTAAAAGGTTAGCATGGTATAAGACTGATGAATCGCGTGTAACAAGAATAGTTATGATTTATGATTGTCAGTTGGATTGCGTGAAAGGTGACATGATGGAGTGATGACTGAGATGACGCATGATAGTTATTAGGAGCCTACGAGAGAAGGATAAGGAGGAAGATGGTGATTAATTTGTACTCACTTCATAGTCTGAGGATCTACGGTCAATTTGATCTTATCATTGCTGATGTGTTTAATGTTTCTGGTGATGTATTGCGTGTGCGCACTTCGGTCGCTGTTCACAGTGAGTGGATAAGCGTAGACTAGAGGTCGCTTCAAGCATGTTGATAGCTGGAGAATATGAAAATATGCGATTTTAAAATAACTATTACTTTTTGTTTGGTGGACGAAATCGTGGACGAAAGCTAGCACAGTAGAACCAAGGGAAACACAAAATGTTTTAAGTTATGGAGGTTTTAAGTTATCAAGGGTCTATGTTGTAGAGGTTTCTGGCTCTGAGGAGAAGGGAACATATTATTATTTGAAGTTATAGAGGTTTGAGTTATCGAGGTTCTACTGTAATTTACATTTAAACTTACTTGCTTTGTTATACTGTGGCTCGCTCTACCGTGGCAATTGACGAGAGTTAAAATTCTCGCGATTTCTCCCATTTTTGGAAGCCCTGTAATAACATTTTATTTAAAAACGTTTCAAACTGAATAGCATTATTATGTGATGGTATCTCCATATCCGCTTGAAAAAACAATAATTTTGATTTGAATTTAATTTGCGATTTTCCTTAAACAGATTAAATTTTATTCATTTATAACGTTAAATCTAAAAATAAAATGTTTAAATATTGAAATGGATAAAATAATGAATAATATATTTAAATTTAAAACCTGTACTAGTTATTTTTCGTTGTAATTATATTTGCTCAAGGGTGGTTCGTAATTGTTTCTGGCATTAAAATGCGCAAGTCGACTTAACACGTACTGTTCCAAGCAGTCGGTACTAACAATTTCTAGCAGGCGATGGTTTTGCACTCAGTGCATATGACGTTCACCATACACGAACCTCAGAATACCTTTGCCACCGCAAGACATACATATTCTAAATGCCCCAATAATAACGTATCTTTTTATCGCTTTTGTAGTTGCAGCTACAGACCCGGCGCTATGATCCGTGTACGGCAGTCCTTAGCCATATAAACCAGTGACATTTATTACAAAAGACCACTTTTTTTTTATAAGATACGGTGGCAAACGAGCATGCGGCCACCTGAATTCACCGAAGTGGAAAGCAACCGCTGCCCATAAACATCCGCAATTGCAGATGCCTGCCTACCCTTAATTGACGGAGGAGGAGACGCACATAAATAGGACATTTCACACGCACTCATCAGACGAAACGCGGAATTGCTTCCACTTCACGCTTGTTTTCTATGTGGTCGTGGTATTACACCGGGCGAGCCGACCCTGCAGTGCGAACATGTTAAAGCGGGCTCTACCATTGTAAAAGTTACGTAATTTTATTACTTTATAGATAAAATAGTTACATTGTTTTTTATTGTTGTGTAACTCAGACCTTAAACTTTGACATTTAGTACCGCTCTGTGTCCTAAATTACTATTTAATATCACTATAAGTACAAAATAAACGACTTTAGCTGTCTAGAAATAATGAGAATGTCAGTTACGGATTACGTTTATTTGATGAACGAGTTACTTTGGTTTATCGATTTAAGAACCAGAGATACCAAAACATCAAGAAACTACTTAAAAACTCATTATTTTCTTGCCATATTTCTTACATAGGTCGATAGGGGTACATCTTAATATCCTATCAGCTAAATACATGGTTAAGTAACTTATACCTGGTTTAAATTATCCCAGCAATGCCCTTTTGAGCACTAATGCCCGGTTTACACTTGGCCAGTAATGTCGGACTACGTCAGCAAGCGACACTCATTGGCATCCGTTATCGGTAACTCTGCCAGTTCTTGACGGTCCATCCAGAGCGCTCCTGACCAAGTGTACACCGCGCATAAGTGTTCAAAATCAGTACTGGCTTACTACTAGCATAATGTAAACACTAACTGGCGACAGTGAGTCCACAGTCCATGTTCTGTGCTACTGTCCGACTGTATTCGCTAAATGTAAACCAAATGTTAATATCCCATTGGAATTTTAATTTGACTTTTTTAATCTTTTTTCTCGCTTCCTCCGTATTACTTGGTCTTGGAGTAGAGGTGACTAATGACTAGCAACAGGTTTACTAATTTTGTAAAATAAATAGACCTTTTTGCTACCTGGAAATTTTCACTACTTTTGGAAAAAATGCAAGGTCAAGTTATAATTAATATTTCTCACTATTAAAGGTGGTGTTTATATATGATCACAGATAATAGGGGAAGGGAGGGTAATGGGGGCCAGCGGGTAATGAGAGTCACCATTTTATTCACGAAAGAGTAGATGCGAGCAACGCGTAAACGATGTCCTCTCCTCCGTTCTGTTTCCCTGGCACATCCAGGGACGATTCGCGTCAATCGGCAGCCGTGCCCCTGAGAAGCGTGTTTGTTTTGTTTTTGCGCTCCGCCGATGTAATTTTGCGTCTACACAAATTATAAGGTGAGTACCGAATATTTTGAAGCATGCAATTATGACATTTAAATGTACTTAGATCAGATGTTTGAAATTGTAATCTGCTGTTTAGATTTTATAAATGTGTCACAGTCTTTTTTATTTCAATTTTATCCTTATGATACGTAGTTGCGGGTAATGAGAGTCACCCGACTCTCAACAACGCATGTTGGGTTACGTTGCTTTTATTTTCTTCCAGATGCCGAAAGTACGTGTTAGGATAACAGAAAAGGCTTCCTAGTCTGGTGCTAACTTGGAGAAAGCTGTTAAACTCGTTGATGAAGGTTCTTCTATAAGAAATGCTGAGAAAGTAATGTTCATCCCTTTTTCTAGTCTACAGAAAAGAATTAAAAAAGGTTCTACTCTAGGAACACATCTCGGACGATTTACTGTCTTTAGTCAACAGAGAACAAGAACAGAACAAGCGAACATAGTGAAAAAAATGGCCATTATTCAGGGTGATCCCCATTACCCCCATGCTAGTGTAATGGGAGTCAAATCTATATTTTTTTTTAAATCACTGTAATTTCCAAAGTTGATTGAAATTGATCTCAAATGATAGTCTATTAAGTAAATTTTGCTTCAAGGAGGTTGAAATAAATATTTTGTTTGTAATTAAAATGTTATATGAGTTTTCCCTTAAGTGACCCCCATTACCCTCTTTTACCCTACTAACTATTATGGCTATGAATATAAACATATATAGCTCCTACAAAAAGGATGTAAGGCATTGAATTTAAAAGCATATAAAAACCTTCACATTACGGTACTAATGATAAGTTGTGCAATAAAACTCACCGGTATTTAGTATCACGCTTTCATAAAATTCTTCAACAAGAATTAAAAAAACAACTTGTAATAACTTTAGTAATTGTTAAAGACAAAACAATCAACAAACAAAATGTAAACATAAGTCGCACGTCTAGTGATTTTAGATTATAGTAAAAAGGAATAAAACAAGAACATGAACGCGCCAACATCGGCGGCGTCGCAAAACATACTGAATTAATTTCGCCATTTTTAGCGCGAACACGAACGGAACGCGTGTTCCCGCCATATTCCTGTTATCTGTCAAATGTGTTTTTTTGCAAAAAGCATTTTGTATACGTGCACTGTTATCTTAAATGCATGCTTTTGATTGAGTCATAGAGTTCAAAGTCTAGTCTAGTTTTTGTACCGTAATGTTTACAAAATCTAATCGTAGCAGGTTGGCGTAACCTTCAAGCATGTAACAAATAAGGGTAGACAGAGATGTTCAGCAAAAATTACTCTTCCTCTTGCCCTTTTCCCTAAGCAAAATGTTTCATTATGTTACAAAGTATTCTGTGTCCCTAAGGAAGGCAGCACAGTATGTTACTCTTCCATACATTTATATCAACCGTCATATCTGTATTTACACCCGTCCGCATTCACACAATCCTTTTATACATTTCTCAATGATCCTATATCTTTGTATCCATCAAACTTAAAAAAGTGGTAGCAAAATAATACTTAAAAACTACGTCCGCATATAATGAAAATAAAAAAAGAATGTCTATTCTGGGGATTCCCCGTTGTTGTTAAAATTATTTTATTAAAAAATAATAAGAAGCATGTACAGTCTACTGTAGGTTCTAACCTCGATAAGTTAAAGTCCAAGGGAAACACAAAACATTTTATAGAGGTTTTAAGTTATCAAGGGTCTTTGTCGTAGAGGTTTTGGGCTCTGATGGGTAGGGAACATATTTTTTGAAGTTATAAAGGTTTTTAAGTTACCGAAGTTTGAGTTATCGAGGTTCTACTATATTTGTACTCGTGTGATAATTTACTTAAATTACATAAAGTAGGAACAATTACTGCATAGATTACACCAGACTACACATACGATATGCACCAAATGTACTTTGTTTTTTTTTTATCAATTGAATTAAATTTCGACATGCACAGATAATACAATACTATTCTAATAAAAAAAAAACTTCGAATAAGAAATATGTTTTAATTGGGGTTAAATAAAATCTCTTTTAAAAGTTATGTATTTATTTTAAAAAATCTAATACAATATGCATTGGTGTGTATAAAAAATATTTAACAAACTACAAACACACGTGGTCTTAAAATATTGCTATTCATTTTAACTAGGCGTGTTAATATGAACTCAAAATGGCGAAACTTTATATTATTCTGTTTTGTTTTTGGTATAAGCATGTTTATAAGGTTCTTTAAAACATATTTTATGTCCTTATTACCAATTAATTAATTGAGAAATTACAACTATGTTTATTAAAAGTATAAAACAGTTAATAAACTACCCAAAACAAGTATTTGAAACTTGTCGCAATTTAACATTTTTTATGAGACAAAAATGCAGATATCTATGGGAGTTCATATTGACGAATTCAAGTGGCCTCTTGTGCCTTTTACTATAAAAAAACTAGAAATAGAGCACAAAGTCTCAGATCGAACATAAATAGGTGTCGAAATTCTTATTAAAAATGAAACTTTAACGAATTGCACAAAAAAACTTAAATTTAACTAACATTAGCCTAAGTTTTACCTTATCGAGAGCCTTTAGATATAAAAGCTAGGAAAGGATACAAAGATAACCTATTAAATTCTTCAGTACAATTTAGTCTAAATCAGGGATGGCAAAAATTTTCAAAAAACGTTTATCATTATTAAAAAAAATACATTTTAACCCTAAAAAGGTAAGAGACTGCATTTACTAACCTTCAAAACACTATTTCGATGAAAATAAAGTAAAAACTGTTAATATTTTTTTTAAAATAACATTTTTATACTTTTTAATGCCACGTTAACACATTGCCAGTACAGTTGGACAGTTTCGCAGCCAGTCATAGATTGTACGGATTCACTGGCGCCAGTTAATTCGTCGGTTAAATAGAAAAATGGCAGTTTACAAAATATATTTTTTTTTCAATACAATCATTGAAAGTTTAAATTATTTAAAAAAAATAATGAAAAATGTCATTTTTCTATTTAATCGACGAATTATTGAGCTATATTCCAAGACTTATTGAGCTATATACCAACTCGCATTGGGCCAGCGTGGTTGACTATGGCCTAGTCACCTTATTAGGGTAGGCTCCGAGCCCCTCGGTGGGGACGTATAGTGAGCTGGTGATGATGATTCCAAGACTACTACATTTTACATTTCTGAATTAATACAATTCTGCCATCCCTAGTTGAACATTAATCTATCTAGGATTAGGTCATCACTAGGAGGGGTACCCTTAACCTCTTCAGAGGGTGAAAAATTGTAAAAATAGATATAAAAATCTAGAAATAAGACCAAATCAGTAGCCCCCTCCTAGATATTCCGTTTTAAGCGTGTGCACGTGTCTTGTGTGCGAGCAGCGCGTGTTCTCTGAGATGGGCCATCACAAGGCGCACGTACTCCTCGCGGTGCTTGCTGAAGTGCTGCACGTGCGGGGACCTGTCCCAGCACTGCCATGTACACTGGAATAAATAAATTATTATCTACAAGCTTTCGCCCGCGAATCCGTCCGCGTGGAATAGGCAATATGCATATGACGCCAAATTGTACCAAACTTTTTTTAAGTATACTTTATTACTATAAAAACATTCCTGCAAAGACTTTTTTTAAATATAATGTGAATATTTAATTTAGTGGCAAAATTTAATCATTAAAAAGTGTCTTTTTTCAAATTCTCTCGCTAAGTTCTAAAACGCACACTATTGGTCGACGCAAGTGGCTTATCTGATATGGCGTCGCTGTGTTGACAATACACAGTTCATTTACGTTAGTTTATATAGAAATTCACTCTTTAAGTATTTTACTGTAAACTCGATATCAAAACCAACTTTAAAGTAAAAAAATAATGAATAGAATTATTAATTACCACTTATTTGTACCAAGAATAATAAAAATGAATCGATTTTTGACCTTGAGAAGCTTTGTTGTGTTTTACGTCGAAGTGACATCTGAGCGTATGTTACAAACAACTCCGGTCGCGTTTTAGTCGCTCGAAAATGGTCGTAATTTTATTTTATTATTTTTAGCTCAATGGTTGAATATTTTCGCGTCAATTTTTTTTTGTGGTTATTTTATAACAAGTAGAATCGTTTAAAAAAAGAAAAAATACATGCATATTCCCTATTAGCCTATGTGTTCTTCCAGACCATACTCTGCACCTATACCAAATGTAATTGAAATCTGTTCAGCCGTTTAGGCTACAAACTCTAATAAACATCCATCCATCCATCTAAACTTTCTCATTTATAATCTTAGTATGATTATAATTAGTACGTTTTTTTTTTAGAATATCTAACTAATATTATAAATCCAAAAACCAATGTTTATTCGAGTTTGTAGCCTAAATTGCTGCACTGATCTCGATGAAATGCATTAGGTATAGAGCAAAGTCTAGAACAAATAGGCTACTTTACTTTTTAGCTTTATTCGGACGGAATCACAAGCGAAAGTTAGTGTTCTACATGTATGCCAAATTTCAGCGAGGTCAATTGAGCTGTTCTGGAGTTATCTTCTTACAAACATCCATCCATCTAAACTTTCGCATTCGCTTAGCACAAATATAACAATACTATACTAGTATATTAGTAAGGTTCACTAATAAGTATAATTACTAGCTGTTGCGTCATTCGTCCGCGTGATTAAAAAAATAATAAAAAACATAGCCTTAGTTACTTACAGATAAATTAAATTTCTAATGGTGAAAGAAGTTTTAAAATTAGCTTAACATTTTTTACACGAATCCAAAACTCCAATCCTCTTTACAATAGACTAGTTATAGCTCGCGACATCCACGTGAAATTAAAAAATATAAACATTGCAGTTTTTTAACGGTGAAAGAATTTTTGAAGGAAGACTGATGTATAAAGTTGTCTATTACTAAATTGTCTTTAGTATACCTTGATGCCCATCTTGCACCAGGACTGGTAGACCGCGCGGTTGCTGTGCTCCGCGCCCACAGGGTCGCTGCTGGACAGCAGGAAGAGCGCGGGCGCGCGGCACAGGTTGGTGTGGAACAGCTGCGAGGACCTGATGTAGTGCGTCGTCGCCGCGTCGTGGAACGTCTTCATATGATACCTGCACAATAAACACATTTATTTATATTTTTTTTATGCCACAACGTAGAAAACAAGCAGCCACCTGGATCCGTCAAAAAGCGAAGCGACCGCTGCCCATAATTGTCCTTTAGAGTATTAAAATTTAGAAGATATCGCGGTCACAAATAAAGGTAACCGAAAAATCAGCTTACAAACTCGGGCTTAGAAATTTTGAATCTTGCATCGGTAGATTTCTGTTATTACGTAGATTACTACTAACTTAATACTTTTGGTAATAGGTTGAAAAAAAAGGGCGAACGTAAGTTTTGAACTTTCGAATTTCACACGGACGAAGTCGCGGGCAAAAGCTAGTAATCAAATAAATACAAATGGACATACATATCAGTAACAGATATAACTTTAGTAACTTCAAACGGTCACGTAATCTTCCAAAGTCATACCAGACAAGATATTGCAAAGCGGATTTATTTGAATGAAACGACATTACTATGGTATAGTAACAAATATTACACAAAGTAGATAAAAATATAATTAATTACTTCTTACAGACATATCGTATTGATATCAGCGATATATTTACTTGATATTTATGTCTGGATAGAATATATATTATTATTTACTATTGCGGAAAAAATACTTTTACAAAATTAGATTTTTTTAAATTCTTAAGAGCTGACAGATGTTAATAGAAATGTAATTAGACAATATAAAAAGAATATTAAATAATAATAAATCGCAAATATAAAAGTACAATGAAACATTAAAGTTGCTTGAATTTTTACTGCGCTCAGAAACGTTAAACAATATGTATTGTACACATCAACTGACATAATATAATAATAATAATAATAATAATAATAATAATAATAAATAATACACATTTAATCAGTTCCAAAACACACTGCAACACAATACAACAAAATCACTTGAACAAAAAAAAATACAAACGAGAAAAACGAAAACCAATCATTAACAATCAAAACTCATATATCACTTCATCTTCATACAGTATTTAAACTGTCTTTTAGAATTGTAGTAGCGGGTTTAAATCTACATTAAGCGCCTATCTCTAATGGCCGGTTTCCCAGCTACATTTAACCATACATTAGTGTTTTTAGTTCGATAATTTCATAAAAACTTAGGTCAACTAATGAATCACTTGGTGGATGAAAAGAAACTTCAGAAACCGGCAGTAAGCGTCAGTTTTAATAACTTACTCCATATACGCTTTGAGTGTTTTCTGCATAATCTTGTTTTTTGGGAAGACGGCGATGGGCACGCCGATTGTGATCTCGGTGATGTCGGCCGCCGAGTCCCACACCTGCGCCGCCACGCGGTCCAGTACGGGCTGGTAACTGAAAATGTTACACAAATAACTTCAAATATATTGAAAAAACAAGGAAAACGGACTGAATCTATATTAATACTAATCATACTAATATTATAAATGCGAAAGTTCAGATAGATGGATGTTTGTTAGAGTTTGTAGCCTAAACTGTTGGACGGATCTCAATGAAATTTGGTATAGATGTAAAGGATAGTCTGGAAGAACACATAGGCTATTCACTTTTGTTGTTTTTAATTCCACGCGGACGGAGTCGTTGGCAAAAGCTAGTACTAACATAAATAGTATAAATAAATAAGTAACTCAAAAAATACTGGGCCGATTTCGAAAATTCTTTCAGCGTTGGCTATTTTTTTTATTTTAATTGCACGGGGACGAAGTCGCGAGCAACAGTCAGTAGATAAATAAACTTGAAACCGTGAGTAATATTCAAAAAGGAAAAAAACCACGGTATTTGACTCAAATTCGGATTTTTCGGAAATAAAAATTTTTATTCTCACGTCAACTGTAGGTATTTTAAGCCTTTTTTATATAACCCTTTAATACTCAAGAAAGGAGGAACGGAATGACACCTAATTCATAGAAATCAGTTCATTCGGTTTTAATACTGTAAATCTTCCTAATATTCTAAACGCAATTTAGTTGAATGTTTGTTACAAGATACATCCTTAACTGGTGAATAGATTTTGATGAAATTTGGCACAGATGTAGAACATATCCTGGAAGAAGACATAAGCTACTTATTTTTGTTCTTTATTTGTATAAATCTTGCATACTGACCGTTCCTTGTCCGCCATCACGTGTGCGCACACCTCGCCCCACAGGTACCCGCCCACGGAGAAGCCGTGCACCACCAGCGGCTGATCGTTCTCGTTGGCCGACAGCAGCCGCATCAGGTCACCTGCCACGAGCTGCAAATACCATCATCATCAGCTTTCATCTGCCTAACATTGGACATAAGGCTTCCCCAATATACCAATTTTTATTCGAAACCCTCAAGAGACTTTGAAACTTACGAATGCGTTGATGTATTAATTCCTAGCAAAAGAGGTATGTTAGAATCAAATTTAATAGTCTGAGTTCTGTACCTACCCCACTGGTTTACGACCATGGAAACGCACGCACATAACCGGCTTGGAAATGACATCTTTTCTTGTATACACACTTAAAATATTAATGTTAGTGAGTTTACTTTATCAGTATGATTATGCATTATGACTACAAACACCAAAAGGGCGGAAATTAAACAATTCCTATATAGTGTTTGAAACCGCGTATAGGATACGAGTATAATTTATAAAAGACGATTTACTAAATAAAGCTGCACGTGGCAAGCGATAATTGTACAGTTTAGAATAACATTTGGATGTATGTGTGACTAACATAGGTATTAAGTTTTTTTCTATTACTAACAAACTATGAGCAAAAAAAAAAAGTGTAGTTTGAAATAAAGTTTATTATTATTATACTATTATTACTAAATAGCGAACAATAGTTTGTGAAAATATTCATACGTTACCTGCGATCCCTTCATTGGCCACATGAGTTGCCATGGCGTGCAGGACACGGAGACGACATCGAAGCCCTGCTCGAGGTAGAGCGAGGCGTATTTCAACACGTGCTTCTGCCGCGCTAGCAGCCAGTTTATCATTATACAGATAGGACGGTTCAGCTGTTTGTCCAACCTGACAACATAAATAAATAAATAAATAAAAACATTTTCATTGCCATCCAAAAAAATACAGTGTTACACAAAATAAGAAACATTTATGAAAATTAGTAAACGATGGCAAAAGGGGGAGGCTCAGCTTAACCGATACTGATTGAGATCCAGTATGGAGCTGGTTTTCAGCCACTCCCTTCCTAAGATGTAAAACGGACAGTAGATAGTAGGAGGTCGATATACAGTTGTAATAAACTGAACTTAATAATCTAAAAAAAGGGCATACAGGGTAATTCAAATAAAACTGTTACTATAGAACGAGTTGTAAAAAATAAAACTCCTCAACTTTATCTATATGTGTATGTGCGTAGTGTGTGTATGGTGACTTATTAGATCGACAATACGTATTTAGGTAACTTATTTAGAAAGAATATTGACAATATTAGAAATCCCTTGAGTTTCACTTTATTCAACTTGCTCTTGTCCCTACGGAGGGTCGGTTATGTGCACTTCCATACATTTCTATCAGCCGTCATATCTGTCTAATCCATACTTTCTTCGGTCTTCCTCTACTTTTGCAGCCATCCACATTTAATCTTAACACTTTCTGGTTTATGTTCCCATCGTCCAATCGCGTCCATACCGTGCTAACCTTTTTCTTCTCAATTTCTCGACCATCTCTTATTACCAATGAAAAAAGTATGATATGTGTTTTTTTATTGTAAACAAAAGACCATTATTCCTGCGTGATTTAAAATTTAAATTATATAATTAGCCAATAATACGATTAGTCATAAAAAAGTAATCGATGTCTTTATATTGAAATCATGAAGTAGCGCAGTGGTCATATCTGCTGCGTTTGCGTCGATTCGGACTTTGTACTAATCAATGTATAATTTAAACGTCTGTCTACTGTTTTGTAGACGTTTATATGGTTGTTCGTTTCGATTACAGTGACACATGTTGTCTTTGTTTTTTTCAAAGAGAATGAAAGAGATGTTTGCATCACTACGTTAAGTTACAATATTGTACAGTGATTACAGTAATCTATATATACAATAAAATTGGAGTGTCTGTTTGTAATATCAAAAGAAAAATTACAGATTTCGGGAAGATGATGTATTTGCCTTGCTAATAACGAAAATCGCATTTAAAAAAAGTTTGTCTGTCTGTCTGTCCGCAAGCCGCGTTTGTTCCGGGTAATCTCCGAAACGGCTGGTTCGATTTCGACCGTACTTTCACTGAAGGGTACTGACATAGACAGTCATATTATAGGCTATTTTTATCTTAATATTGCGTGGAAGAAGTCGCGGGCCACAGCTAGTGTAAAAATAAATTCAGTTAAATCTTTACTAGAATCTAATAGGAGACTTACTAAATGCCTATTTAAGTTCATGTATTTTTTTATACCTTATCATATCTATTTTAAAATATACAAATAGATTGGGTCTATCTTATCTTTGTTTCTCTTCCTATTTTGTCATCTATAACCGTGGGATTCCGCGGTGAAAACATATGGTAATTCAATTTGAATGTATTGTCAGTGGTAACGTACATCAAGAGTGGGCACACACTTTTGATCCAACATTCGAACAACTGCTTTGCGATTGTCGATTGTTTCTCAGGACAAATCAACTGTTACACACATCAAAGTGCGACAAAACAGTTGTGCGATAGTTTAGTCAAATATGTGCGAGTACATACGATGCATGTACATAGGTTATTTAAAGAGTTCAGTATGCAATTAGCAATAGAGCACAAGAATTGAAACAGGTCAAGCGTACAACAATGGATTACCCTAGGTAACTGGCTTACTGACTGTCGACCTTATGTATATAATTGTGTAATGTAATGCATATGTTACTTGTATGCATCAAAGGCATTACAATCGATTACAAAGTATTCAAACTTACAGAACTGTTATTGGCTAAGAAACCACTATAACATTCCCTGTCTTACTAGATATGTGCAATAAATATGTGAAATCAATTTCATGAGAATCGAATAATGATTAAGAATCGATTTTACGATAATCGCAAATTCTATTAACGCTCGAAAAGTGCTGAATTAAAAGAGTACTTTGTTCACTGCGTTAATACAAATACTATAAACTAGTACATTTACCGGAGAAAATATGGACATCGTTGAAGCCACAAGGTAGTGAATTCAGATATGACTACTGATAGATTTATGACAGAATTAGTTTTCGCTCGCGACTCCGTCTGCGTGGAAATAATAAAAAAAGTGAGTAGCCTATTTATTCTTCCAGACTACTCTCCACATCTATACCAATTTTTATCGAAATCCATTGTCGTTTAGAATAAAAACTCTAACAAACATCCATCCATCTTAACTTTCGCATTTATACGTATGATTGTATATAATTTTTTTTGCCCGAGGGGAATGCATTTCACGCATACTCCGCACCCAGGGGGGCGCGGTAGCTATGTGGGTCTCTCCCCCTATAATGGGTGGCATACCCACTAAACCCCTCAGTTCCTCCAACGCCTTAGGCCGGGACTATGGGCACGCTTTCGCTTACGTCCGCTGCCTCAATGATTGCATATATTGTGCTTACATTCCGAAGGTACATGGTGATGATGATGATGTTAATCCACTTACTTCATTGTCTTCGGATCCGGTGTGAGCTTGATCTTATCATTGCTGATGTACTGGATGTTCTTGGTGATGTCCTGGCTGTGAGCGCCGCGGTCGAAGCCGACCATTGCCACCGGCGCGCATGACAGTAACGGTCTGAGAGATGACTGAAACAAAATATAGTTTTAATTATTAAATGAACAGTGGTAGAGCGCCCTTTAACATCTTCGCACGAATGGGCCGGTTCGCCCGGTGTAAGATCACGACCACATATAATTACGCGTTTTGTCTGATGAGTGTGATGCCGGAAGCCCAATTTTAGTTCCTTTTCCACTCGTTTCTTAAGAGGAAGGATAGAAAGGTAAAGTGGATTTGACGATGGTGGAGATGCATATGAAGGAGAAATATCTTCTTTATGTGCGTCTCCTCCTCCGTCAATTAAGGGTAGGCGACGCATCTGCAAATGCGGATGTTTATGAGCAGCGGTCGCTTTCCATTTCGGTGGATTCAGGTGGCCGGTTGCTCGTTTGCCGCCTTATATTATAAAAAAAAAATGATGAATCTTGAATGTGTCTACTTTTAAATAAAAATACTACCGCTCTTTTAAAAGGTAACTTAACTATTAAGAAACAAATCTAATGTCCCGTCACTAAGAGACTGCTTAAACTATTAACTTGAGTACGGCTTACAGTAAAGAAATCAGATACTAATGTTAACTTATTTAGTACAAGTTAACACTAAACTACGACACGTATCCAGTCATTGAACTTTACAATTCATGGCCATGAATAAGTTTTTGTTGATGTTTTTTTGTTTCTTTTTATCAACCAACAATCGGTGTAATTTATTTTAAGTGTTCAAGGAAAGATCATTTACGTTTATCTATCGAATTTAAATAAAAAAAAATGTTTACCACCAGCTTTATTTAATTTCATGACTATTGTACGAAATCTTTCCTCTTTATAATATTAGTACAGAAGTATAGATATAGATTAGGTGTTATAAACATATCAGTTTCATAGTGAACACGGATATAAACATATTACAATATCTCAACACTGTAATATACAGTTACTTATTCACAGCATACATTGTGGTGCCGATATTAGATCACGCGTTGCAATATGTATTCTATTGCATATTTCTAGCATTAACACATTAACTGCCGACTCGCCTAGCCAGATGTCACCACTTAAAACATAGTGGCATTGAATGTGTTACTGTTGCACCTGGAGTCCATAGTGCTCCTGGGAATCGGAACCCATGAAAAAATCTCATATTTGTTAATAAAATCTGTTGTAGGAACAAAAAAATTGATCCCATCTTTATTAACACGTACACTGCGTAACTGGTCGATATTGGCTTGTCACGGTACTTCAGGTGATGCGAAACTATTATCTCATGTGTATACATTACATTACATAAAGTGTTTGTTTTTTATATAAAGTTATAGCTTTTTAATATATCCTAGTGATGGTAGGTCTAGAAAGACCTGCAACGCACTGCCAAAAATATATCTGGGGGCGCAGTTTGGCCCGTCGCCGCAGCAGTTGAAGAATTATGATTTTACTTGCCGCAGTGGACGTGTTGAAATTGTCTTTGTGAGTTGGGTAACATTAGTGCATGCTCGTATCGCGTGTTGTCTCGACGTCAAAGATCAACGAATTGGTTTTTTTATCAATCGATCAATAAGTTCATTATTATAAGAATCACTATGAATACTTTATTATAAAAAAATAAGGAACGTTTTATAAATTTATTAAAAGCAAATGCGTATTAATATGAAATGAGAAAGGTTTTTTATCTGTATTATCTATACTAATATTATAAAGAGGAAATATTATTTTTGGATGTATTAACTCAAAAACTACTGGACTTATTTTAAAGATTCTTTCACCATAAAAGCTACTTTATCAGTGAGTAACATAAGCACATTTTTTTATTCAAATCGCGCGGCCGAAGTCGCGAGCAACAGCTAGTACTAAGTAAAAAAGATATTTTTTTTTGTATTTTTGTATGTATTGATATAACTCAAAAACTAAGAGGCCGACTTTTAAAATTCTTTCACCAATAAATAATACGTTATCATTTTTTTTTTTATAGTAAAAGGGGGCAAACGAGCGGCGTGTACACCTAGGTGGTCAACGACGCCCATGGACATCCGCAACACCAGAGGAACTACAGATGCGTTGCCGGCCTTTGAGGAACTGATAGGCTCGCTTCTTGAAGGACCCTAAGTCGTATTGGTTTGGAAATACCGCCGAGGACAGACCGTTCCACAACGCGGGTGTGCGGGGCAGAAAGTTCCTTGAGTAACATTAGCTACTTTTAATAACATTTTAATATCACGCGGACGGAGTCGAGAGCAAAGAGAATTCAAACTAAAAGAACTAACTAAGAACACCATTGGAATTTTCTAATCGTAGTTTATATAACAAATACCTTTCTAATCGTATGTGTTCCTAAATTGTCAAACATTTGACGCAGTAGGCAAACATTTGATCCAATATTTCTACTAATAGAGTGCATGATTAGAAGTTTGGTTCAACATTTATAGTGCAACTGCAATTATCGCAATTGGCAACAGGCGCACGTGCGCCGCGTGACGCAATGGAAATGTACAGAATATGCAGTTATATCGATAGAGATGGCCTTGAACTTGGTGACAACACTAAATTATTCTGATACTTATCGATTTGAGTAGGGATGTGGTTTTATCGATAATTTTTATAAGCTTTTTTAACTGTTCAGATTTTGTTTATTTTCACTTATTACACTCATCGAATTAACTTCATTAGCGGCTTAGAAGAGTAAAGACGTGTAGGCACCCAAATGATGGATGGACGTCTGTTAGAAGGTATCCGGGAGGAATGTTGTGAAACGTATTCTAAAAAAAAACATTACATAAACTATTTTTTTTTTAATTCTACGCGAACGTAGTCGCGGGTAATGAGTAGTAAAGATTTTGAGATATTTCTTTATTAAAAATTAATTGACAAAGGGTTAAATCTATTTATAGTAATATATTGCCAGGCTTTTTATACAAAGAAGACTACTCTATAAGTAAATATTAGGCCATCGAATAAGTCTCTACGGACAGTAACAATCGTATGCATAGGATATACATAAATACTTCTCATTCCCACTACAATTCATTCATAGATCAATTATCTATGTTTGACCACTTAAAAACATCGAACCATATCATCAGACGATATTTCAAGTTATTTTGACCTTGAGGCCGTGTTCTAGTAACAAATTAATTTGATACAGGTTCAGAAATAGTTCATACAATGTTGCATGGCACGATTAGTGTTTAAGTCTATAGTATACAGCTGCGACAGCGGAATAAAAGATATAGAAATAAGCATAGGTTTAGTCAGTCCCTTCCGGTATCTAAGAAACTAATATATACTGAATTTTGATATAAATCTGGTTTATATTATGGATTTAGTATGATCCAGAAAGCTATTTTTAGAGTTGGCAAGGAAAAAGCGCATATGGTAGAGATGCCATTTTCGCTCGTCCCGCGCTTTACAAGACGAAGCGAGTGTTTGCTATCTAGATTGTGTACGACAGGCTTTATCACACAGGAACAAATACTGGCGTGTTACACCTACAATCAGCTACAATCGTTTGCACGTTAACAAAAGTCAATTAAACGTAGCTTATAAATGTGTCTGTACGAAATAAGTCTTATAGTTTAGGCTACGTAAGCAAGGAAAGCACAAATGACCCTAAATTTCGTCGCACGATTTTGAGCTAAACTATTTAACTACGTCGTAGTCTTAGACTCCAAAAATCAAACAAAAAAATGGGACCCACCTGCAAGCATTACCTTTCGGATAAAAAAAGAATTATCAAAATCGATCCACTAGCGGCGGAGTTATGCCGTAACACACATAAAATACAGACTAATTGAGTACCTCCTTCTTTTGGGAAGTCGGTCAAAAAAGTCGGTTAGTTCTTTTCATTATTATTCGTTTGCACTCACTGATATCTAATTAGTTATTTGTAGGAAGGCGAGGTTTATATCGTTGTAATAAACAAGGCAATTTCTCCTGAAGTGGTACACCGCGAATTTCTGCGACTGTACTTGGTATGGAGCATTTTTAGCTTTACGCCTCGCTTCTGCTTTATGCTACCGTTGTTAGTACATTTTTTGTGCAATCGGCGAAGTAGAAAAACTGTTGGACGTAACCGGACATTAGAAAAAAACATTATCATCATACTAGCTTTAGGTCGCGACTCCGTCCGCATGGAATAAAAGTTGCTTATGGGTTCTTCCAGACTATGCTCTACGTGTATGCTAAATTTCATTGTAATCCATTCAGCCACACATTCTTACAAACATCCATCTAGATCGATGGATATTTTTTAGAGTTATGGATGGATATCCATCCATCTAAACTTTATAATATTAGTAAGAAGTAAGATTAAGATATAGGTACAGACAGAATTAATATTATCAATAGTAATAATCAAAATATTTATCAATTACATTTGGATAATGTGATTAAAATAGATTAGATAGTTATAAATAACTAGATTTCGCCCGCGACTCCGTCCGCGTGGAATTAAAAAAAAAAGAAAACCAAGTAGCCTATGTGTTCTTCCAGACTGTCCTTTACATCCTTACCAAATTTCATCGAAATCGGTTCTGCCGTTTAGGCTACAAACTCTAACAAACATCCGTCCATCTAAACTTTCGCGTTTATAATATTAGTGTGATTACAGTCGTAAATATAGATTAAGCAATAAACAACGTTTATTTAGACATTAGATAAATCGATCAATAAGTAATAACTCGGTTCTGAAGAATTAATTACAGTTTTTATATGCTCTAGCTTTGAATTATTATGTTACCGTTAAGTAAAATAACTTTATAAGTGTTCAGACAAGAAACGTGCGACTTCGCGTCATATCACGCGATGTCTTGAATGTGGGTTTAACGAAACATTTAAGATTGCTATTTCAGTTTTTTTAGAACTAATGAAAGAGACAAAAGATTTTCCTATGAATGTTATGACAGTCAAACATAATTTTTTGAACAATATTTGTATTTCAAAAGATTGAAATCAAAAATAAAGTGTTTGTAGTAACAAATATTATTTTATTTCATTTCTTAACTTATGTCAAAAGTTTCGACAAAAACCATGACCCAAAATTAAAAGATAAACATAGAAATAGATAAACTATGGTAGTAAAAGATATGTTGTAAGTACAAAATTGTATTGACAAATATTTGTTATGTTATGTGATAACAAAAGTTACATAAACTAATTATGCATATAAATAATAAAATAATGCATATGAAAATAAATGATCACTTATCTCTTAACTACATTGTACATTTATTATAAATTTTGTAATAAAATTAAAAGTTTTTAAATTTTCCTTAGCAAGAACATAAACAAAAAAATATTTTACAGTTTTAAAAAATTTATAGTTCAAACATTGACCATTGATAAAGAAATAGTGGTAATGACCATAACTTACATCCAATCTTTTTTTTTTACATTTATTTGTAGAAATAGAAATGTAGAAGTACACATCTTTCTTGATTTTTTTATAATATTAACTACATTTTATACTTACATTTGCATTATTTTTCACAGCAATCTTTGTGTTATTCACAGCCAGGGACATTAAAGTTTTGAATAGGCTCATTGTTATAGTTTTTCTGAAACAATAAGTTACATTAAGTTTTATGTAAACTTAAAATCATTTACATTGTGGTTTCAAACTTAATTAATCCACATATTTTTAGTTCTGTACATAACAAGATAATTAATGATTTTGAAAACAAATTTATAAGAGAAAAGTGTGATAACATATCATCGAAATTACTTTATACAATAAGTAATACACCTTATGCTTAGTTTTGACATGTTTAAAATCGTAATAGAAAACAACAAACATTTTTTTAAAACTTTTCGAAAAGATCGCAACCCTGTTGAAAAATAAGCGTCAATCAAAACTGTACAAAAAAGCTATTATATTTGAACTACTTTTAACCTATTTCATCATCATCATCATCACCAGCTCACTTTACGTCCCCACCGAGGGGCTCGGAGCCTACCCTAATACGGGGTGACTAGGCCATAGTCATAGTTAGGCCATAGTTAACCTATTTGTCATAAGAGAAAATGCGTTCTATCTGAAATCTATTAGACGCAAAATATATGAAAATGCATTACTGCACAAAGATGGCCCCTAAATTAATTTAAAAGCCCGGAAATAGGATGTATCAATTGTGGTTGAGCAATGGTGTCAAATAGCGACAGTAGTGATGGGACTCGAGTTGCTTTTTACTCGAGTGACTCGAGTCATTTTTTTCTTACTCGGACTCGAGTGAAATTTTTGACAACCTGAGTTGCGAGTGACTCGAGTTGACTCGAATTACGAGTGACTCATAACCATTTCGTTGGTTTATACTAAGCGGAGTAAGAAATTTTTACAGCATTTTCAGTTAAATTTGTTATCTTTTTAAAAACGCACTATTTCTGTTCTTTTGTAGAGTTTATTTAAGCTTTGTTTAAGTTAATTAACTAACTTTACTTAACTTAACTTTAAAATTTTAAAGCATGATTATTATCAAAATTGTGTAAGAACATAATCAAACTCAACAAAATCAAAATATTTGGATCTCATGAAAATTACTTGCAAGAAATGGAAAAATGGATTTGAACTTATTTATAGTACACTATAAAATTTCAACTAATAGATGATATAAGAGGTTTCTTTATTATGTAGACAGGTTTAGTTTAAAGGAAAACACTATTTTTACACATTTTGTACAGATTTTTTGAGTAACTTTTACGTTAATGCGAAAACAATTTCTTTATGTTAAATTAACATTGTTTTATTGGTTTTAAAATTTTGGTTCCTCGATTTTTATATTACGAGTGACTCGCGTCTATAAACATCACTCGAGTCTTACCTTCACTCGAGTGGCATTCGAGTGAGAAAGTTACGAGTACCGAGTGACTCGAGTGAAAAAAAATCACTCGAGTCCCATCACTAAGCGACAGAAATAGTGGGATAAGTACTTAACTTGTTCTCTGTATTCAAGGCAACTAAAATTACGACGAGCCCTACGTAACAAATAGTGACATGGTACCTGCATAGATGCCATTAGAAATTGGACACCGTTAGTTCAACAAACGAATAATATTAATGCAATCTTGGAGAAAATACTTACCAAAGTGTTTATAATTTAAAAACCAAAGTCCAGCTTTTCTTCTATTTCATATAAGCACGATTATTTTAAATGTAATTTAACATTTTCATTTGATAGTTGTAGAATACGAAAGCTGTTATTTCGTATGAATTTTTATTAGACGAATAAATTTTTAACTGAACAGTGTTTCTATTATTATGATTAATGAGAAATAAAATTAAAGTAACTTGCGCCAATAAAATATTCAAAAATCAAAACAAAATCAAGCATCCTATCACGCGAATCGTGAATGATTAACTGAATAACCAAAGACTACAAACATTTATTTTTTACCAGGTACCAAAGACAATTTAACCTTTAAAATTTCTCCTATTTTAACGCCTAAGCTAGAATTTAATAATTCTCCGACGCATATTTTGAATATCTTCAGTATAAATTTATTTTTTGTGTTAAAAAAAATGAAAAAAAGATCATTTAAAAGTACTTCAACAAGTTTAAGCGTTTTTGTTGGCTTTTAAAACGTATTATTTCAATGTCAAAACAGTTTGACATTTGACGTTGACAGGAATAGGAATATTTTGGTAAATAAATGGCAACGTGCTTTGTGATTTTAATTTGCAGTGTTTAATAGCATTAAAATGAACGAAAACAATATGAAGGAGTTTGCTGAGTTAGGAATTAAAACATGGCTGATCAAGCAGCTTCATACTCTTGGTAAATAACTTGTTTATATTACGACTCCTATCTTAAAAGTTAAAAGCATGAACTAAACCTTAGAGTTACATCAAATGAACATAAGAATTATTATATTATAGTACTAGAATACCATATATCTTTTCAGGTATAAAGGCTCCAACTCCCATTCAAAAAGCATGCATTCCAGACATTCTCTCTGGAAACGATTGTATCGGAGCAGCCAAGACTGGCTCAGGGAAGACTTTTGCGTTTGCATTGCCAATATTACAAAACCTAGCGGAGGATCCTTATGGAATTTATGCACTTATACTTACACCAACACATGAACTTGCTTACCAGGTAAATAGTGACTTAATTTTCAACTTGTATATAAATCGTACACCTTTTTTTTCTCGCTGGGAAAATGCATTTACGCATCCCCCCCCCGTTACCAAGGAGGGGGGTATGTGGGACTCGCCGGCCGAGAAGATGAAAGATGGCTGGAATACCCACTAAAAACCCAGCAGTGTTCCTTTTATCTGCCAGTGGCTGGGTCACGGGAACGCTTGCGCAATCTTCCGTGACCCAGCCAGATATAAATCGTATACCTTATGTTATGTTCTCACGTTCAAAAATCTACTGAACTAGATTGGAGAAAAGTATATTAGATTTTAATTTTAGTGTCGATAGATTTTAATGTTTTGGTAACATATAAATTTTGCTACTAAAAACTCCATTGTATTAACACCCTCAGCGCCAGCTAAGTGAGTGTTTAAAAAAAAACCAATATTTTTTGTTGGAATGTATTTAAAACTACATAATATATCATATATTGTTTTTCACCCGCATTTTACCCTTTTTTTCCTTTTTATCCATGTGACATTTAGATACATGTGTCTTGGGAAATAGTTTGTTTGTAATTCATACCTCCCAGGCCACATACACAGTTACACATAGCACCTAAAGTGTTAAGGGTTAAAGATATTAAAAATATCCTTTCAGATAGCAGATCAATTCAGTATACTAGGTAAACCACTGAACCTCAGAGTATGTATAGTGACGGGAGGATCAGATCAAATGGAGGAATCACTAAAGCTGGCTAAAAAGCCCCATATAGTGGTAGCAATGCCTGGACGATTGGCCGATCACATAACTGGCTGTGATACATTCAGTTTGAAGAAGATTAAATATTTAGTTTTGGATGAAGCTGATAGGTATTCTTTTTCAATAAAATCCTAACATAAAAAAATAACACATAAAAATTATACAACAAAGTGACATTTCATTACATTCATTTATTGTAGGTTTAAAATTTGTATATTGAAGTTTATTTTTAATTTAAACTAGCTGTCTGTGTGGATTTATCCGCATGATATTATAAAAACTTTATTTTATTGTTTACATTTGTCAAATTCTCAATTACAAATGTCAAAATTATACCTTAATAATCTTGCTTCCTTAATGTTGGCAGCTTGTAGTTTATGGTCTCTTTCCCACATGAAGGGGTTTTTTTTTCAATTTATTTACCCCCTAAATTCAATAGTGTGAAAACTTGTAGCCCAAAGTGTGTCATAAGTATATGGCTTTTTATTAAAAAAGTTATTCAAAATATGCCGTCTTTACACTTTATTATATTAGTATAAATTATTTTATATTTGTATACTGTTTTTCTCAATTTTATGCTTTATCTTAAAAACTAGGATTTTGTTTGGTTTATTAAATAGTAACATTTATAGGAATTAATTGATGAATTTTGTTTCTTCAGATTGTTTAGTGAATCTTTTAAAGATGATTTAGACACAATATTCGGTGTTTTGCCACAAAATCGTCAGAATTTACTGTTTTCCGCAACAATAACTGAAGATGTTAAAGAATCTAAGCAACTGCCGTTAAACAAAGATGTAAGTATGATATTGTTTGTTTAAAAATGTATTCTTACTTTCCAATGTATAACATTTTTATTAGTAAATTTAATAATTATTCTTGAGCAATGTATGTAGCTTATGCTAAATTGAAAATTAGAAAAAAAAATATCGACGAATTGAGTACCTCCTTCTTTTGGGAAGTCGGTCAAAAATAGATATAAACTACCGGAAACTATGTCAATGAGTTTCCACAGATGTAAAACAATCTGAAAGAACTACGCTACTAAGTACTTATTTAATTACAATTAGGAAAAAAGTTAAAACAGTATCCTACAAAACTTGTGTGATATGTTGGCTTCCTATCATAACTAATCATACTAATATTATAAATGTGAAAGTTCAGATGGATGGATGTTTGTTAGAGTTTGTAGCTTAAATGACTAAACGGATTTTGATGAAATTTGGTATAGATGTAAAGAGTAGTCTAGAAGAACACATAGGCTACTCACTTTTGTTTTTTTTGGATCCCATGTGGACGGAGTCGCAAGCGAAAGCTAGTTATAAATAAACTATGTATGAATACCATTGTATAGTTTTAATTAGAGTGAAATAATAAAGCATTTGATATATTAGTTTGTAAGATTAATTTAATCCCATACATACAAAGTCACAAAACTACATTAAAGTTTATTACAGCGACTCACAATATGGTCGGAGATTGATTCTCAGTTAACAGTGAGCACGTTGTCTCAACGCTATGTAGTGTGTCCGGCGTACGCACGCGACGTATACCTCGTGCAGGCGCTGCGACAGTACAGAGAGACCACACCGACCGCACATGTTATTGTCTTCACAGATACTAAGAAGTTAGTACTCATATTACATCTTACTAATACTGTCCTCGATAAGTTAAGTCCAAGGGAAACATAAAACACTTTAAGTTATCAAAGGTCTATGTTGTAGAGGTTTTGTGCTCTGATGGGAAGGGAACATATTATGTTTTGAAGTTGAAGAGGTTTTTAAGTTACCGAGGTTTGAGTTATCGAGGTTCTACTGTATTCTTAATGGGAAAGTATAGATGGATGTTTGATATTGATGAAATTTGCTACATATACACAGTATAGTCCGGAAGAACATATAGGTTACTTTTTTAATTCAATTTGCCGTGGAGTTGAGGAAACCCCTATTACTAAGCTAATACCATTACAATATCTATTCTTATCTATACTAATATTATAAAGAGGATATATTTGCATTTTTTGGATGTATTGAAGTAACTCAAAAACTACTGAGCCGATTTTAAAACTTCTTTCACCGTTGGAAAGGTAATTTATCTGTGAGTAACATAGGTTTACTGTTTCTTAATTTTACCCAGACGAAGTCGCTATCAACAGCTAGTAGAATATATGTGTGTGTGAGAGAGAGAGAGAGAGAGAGTCGATACAAATGTTTTAATAACTAATTCTGATATATTTATACCAGGGAGTGTCAAGTGTTATCAATGATGTTAAACTCTATCGGTATGGACAATGTTTGCTTGCACGGGTTCATGCGCCAGCGCGAGCGCGCGGCCGCGCTGGCGCAGTTCCGCAGTAACCTGAAGTGTACACTCATCGCCACTAATGTAGCGGCGCGAGGACTGGATATACCCTCAGTACAGCTCGTTGTCAACCACAAATTACCGCTGGAACCAAAGGAGTATATACACAGGTGAGATTACTGTGATATGTGTAATGTGTACAATGTGCTGTGTAATGTTTTACCCAACTGAGAAAAAGGTATATGTTGGTTTGGATATGTGAACAAAATATTATCAGCCCGCATCCTAGATGACTGAACCGTGTTTAAAGAATGAGGTGTCATTTAATTCATCTTCTGTCCTGGAGTGTTATGGGGTTAGTACCCTAGTTGTGGAAGGGTTATAAGGTATGTTATTATAGTGTAGTGTTACATCGGTACAAAACACCTACAGTGTGATAGAAAAACAATCTAAAATATTAGTTAAAAAGCCCGAGTTTAAAACTTAATCTTTTTTTTATATTTACCATTGTACTCCTTCTTTGGTTACTGTGTAATTTATATGAATTGTTGTGTACTGTTACGAGTATACCGTATGTATGTGTAATGTGTACATTGTGTTTCGCACCTTTTATCAACTTGTTATATTTCAGGGTAGGTCGCACCGCACGCGCGGGACGGACAGGCATGGCGATATCTCTCATCACGCCATACGACATCCTGAGACTTGGCGAGATCGAAGATCAAATCAAAACCAAACTCAGCGAGTACAAGATTGATGGTGAGTGTTTAAAACATAACTTTTTGCATATTTGATTTATTTTAGAAGAACTAAATACATAATGTGAACGAATGCACATTGTCTATTACAAAACACAATGTTGCCATTTTATATGTGGCCATAAACAAAATGAAAAGTTTAATTAGTAAAATTTGTTTTCCTACAGTGAGTGTAGAAAATGGCAGTTTCAAGCAATCAAGTCTGATTGTTTTAACATGTGCATTTTATAGTTTAAAGTGAAAAACTATCAAGCGGCCACCAGAATTCGACAAAGTAGCGAAGCTTCCCAGGTATCCGTATTGCAGATGCGTTGCCTACCTTAATCAACAGGAGGGGACGCCTTGCAATGGGATATTTCCCACTACATGTATCCCATCCCATCTTAGTAGTGGTAGTAGGGTTAGGGTTAGCGCGTATTTTGTGTGAACTTTTCATCTTTTTATGGATTACTCCCAACCGTCACTCCGCTCAGTCCTCACGGGGGGACATCCGTCCCTTTGATGACGAGAGGACGGTTGGAATTTATTTTATTTCATAACGGTTCCATATGAAATAAAATAACTGATCTGTGACCTTATTGGTTATGTTGGGACTAAAAGGTGAGAAGGATGAAACTTTTCATTCTCACGTGGGGACAGAGAGGGGTGACGGTAGGGAGTAATCCCTTTTTATGCATGAAGTCGTGTTTTAAAGGGTTATTTTTGATATCAGATGATGAAGCAGTGAAGGTGTTCACGAGTGTGAGCGTGGCGCGGCGCGAGCAGGAGGCGCAGCTCGACAACGAGGAGTTCGAGCAGCGCCGCCGCAACTACCGCCACAAGAGGTGGCTCATGGCGGGGGTGGATCCTGAGGTTATGGAACAAGGGTAAGATTTATTTGTACAAAGACAATTGGAAATTTAGTAATAGCTTTCGCATGCGACTCTGTCTGTGTAGAATTAAAAAAAAACTTTAACAGTGGTAGTGTCCGCTTTAACATCTTGGCACTGCAGGGCCGACACGCCCCCAGTAATACCACGACCACACAGAAGACAGGCGTGAAATGGAAGCAATTCCGTGTTTCGTCTGATGAGTGTGGTGCTGGAGGCCTAATTTAAGTCCCTTTCTATTTATCACCCTTTTCTTATAAGGAGAGGATGGGAAGGGGAAGTGGATTTGACGGTGGAGGAGATGCATAGGAAGGGGAAATATCCACTTTATGTGCGTCCTTCGTCGAATGAGGGTAGGCAACGCATCTGCAATTGCGGATGTTTATGTGCAGCGGTCACTTTCCATTTCGGTGGATTCAGGCCGCTTGCTCGTTTGCCAACTTATATTATAAAAAAAAAACTGAGTCGCCTGTTTTCTTCCAAACTATTCTCTGTGTACTAAATTTCATCGAGATCCGTTCAGCCGTTTAGGCAAACACTCAAACAACTCAAGAAACAACTCAACTTTCGCATTTATAATATTAGTATGATTTTTCAAAGTAAATGTGATTTAAGACAGATTTTATAAAGACATAGAAGTAATTAATTCACCTTAATATTCTTTTGTAATAAAATACCTTTTTTTGAATTTAAAATCTTAATTAATTGAGAAAATATTGAATTGGAGAGTTTTTGTCCATGTGAGACCTGTCTAAAGACAAATTTACATGTAAATTATTGGATTATAATTTTTTTTAATTTAACAGTCTGGAGGAAATGCGTCGTAAGCGTGTAAAAGCAGCTAAGAAAGCGAAACTCGAGAAAATAAAGCAAATCCAAGCACAAATCAAGAACAATAAAGAAGATCGTCTTCTGCCAGAAAATGAGAACATAGATGTATCTATAAAAGATGGCTTAAAGAAAGTCAACAAAAGTCTTATGAAGAAAGATGATAGATTTAAGAATGTTATAGGAAAGATAGTCAAAATAAAGCGTAAAGCTGATAATCTTAAAGAGAAGAGCGTAGAAAAGGAAGTCAAAAGGAAAAAGAAAGTTTTGAGTAAAAAAGTTTTAAGTGGTAAATAAAAAAATATTAAAAAACTCTAGTTTTCATTCTAATTTTGTATAGCGATAACTTAAAATAAAGCATATTTCTATTTGGCCTGGTTTTTTTTACGGAGTTGTCGTTTTTCAATGTTACAAGATATGTGAGTCAGTCGGGTGTACCATTAAATTGTACCACTTACTAGTATCTCGCCAAAAAGAATAGTACCTTTTCCAGAACGAAATTAAGTTACACCAGTCAATTTGACGTACACAACAATAAACACTGTTTTCTCAAATTAATAATGACCCTCACAAATAATGAGAGTAAATAAATGTTTACTACTATAGCCATACGTAATCGAATTTGATTTCGCTTTTATTTCTGTCATCGCTAAATTCTCTACACTATAATCAATAATAGAATTATCCTCTAAATTAGGTAAATTAAATAAGAAAATAATAATTTTAGTTGAGTTCGATAATTATTTAAACCGAATATCGATAGTTCATAATAGTTCGCTGCGTGTTTCGTCACTACGATACCTGTCTATTCAGTATTTGCCTTCTAACAAATTGAATTCGATACTTTGTATACGTCATTTATCAAACTAATCTAATTTAGACAAACTATAATAAAAGTTGGGTTTGATTAAATGAAATAAAAACACTTGAATAGTAATAATTTATTTATACAATGTAAAATTACAAATAAATACAACAATACAATCGTTTAATAAAAGCAACTTTTGATTCGATGGCAAATGATTTTGGCACAAATCTAGCAAAATTAAGCTTGATTTTGAGACGATTTTTTTAAATAAAATACTAGAATACAATCAAATACAGCAAATTATTAAATTAAAATTGATGTTTAAAGACATGAAAATCTAAGCAGAATTACATTATTAAGTTTAGAACATTTCTTTACTTAACACTAAGCCCATTATTTCCGTACTGACAACTTAACCGAACAGTAGAATTAGTTAAAACTACAGTTTTAATGCCTTCATACAGTTTTAACTGATCAATGCGACTGTTCAGTTGATTGTCAATACTTAAATCTGTAGCAGGCTTTATTAATTACTAAATATATGATAATCTGTGCTATTTTTGCTGATAACTTTGAATGTGTTTTTAACTTGTAATAATTCGATGAAACGAAACATAAATAAAATAAATCGCGTATTTACTAAACGTAAAGAAAATATCACATAATTTGCACCGAAACATAGATTTGATCGGGAAAATATACAAAAAAACATAGAACATACTAAAAAAAATAATAAAACATTGCATTGCATAGCTATATATTTCTTTTGATTTAACATAGTTATAAACAAGTTTTATTAAACTACTAGCTGTTCCCATGCGACTTCATCCGCATAAAATTATAAAAATTTTATTTTTCACATTTGTCTAATTATCAATTGCAAATGTCAAAATGAAATGACATGACAAACCTTGTCAATCTTGCTTCCCTGATGTTGGTAGCAACTTATGGTCTCTCTCACATTAGGGTTTTTATCCAAAATATTTACCCCCTAAGCTTAATGGCGTGAAAATATATAGCCTAAAGCGTGACGTAAATGTAGGGCTTTTCATTAAAGAAAGAATTATTCAAAAATATGCTGTAATTGCTGACATCTTAGGCAACAAAGAAGTGTGTGTTTACGCTTTATTATATTAGTATAGTATACACCACTAATAATTATTTTATTACATTATGATGTTTTTAAAGGATTTTTAATTTTTTTTTATTATTTAGCCTTAATTTTTACCTCATTATTAACATTTAAAGGCAAGAAATAGTATAATTGAAAGTAACTTAATTATGAAGATTTTTTATTTCGTAAGGGTTACCGATAATGAAATTAAAAAAGAATAAAGTGTCCTTAAGTAGTAAATATTTAAAAAAAAATCAAATATATAATTATTTTAACATCAGCTTTTTAAAAGCGTGTGTGAATATTTTATTTTTAAATGCAATTTAGGCTCCGATTATGTATGTACAATATTTAAAAATATAATATACTTAAAATTATGGATACATTTTTCATTTATACCGCATGGGGTAGTTTCTTTTGACAAACAAGACAAGAGCTTACTCTGACATGTGTAAAGTATGAGTGTATACCGTCAGGTTACTTTGACATGTGTACTGAGAACACATGGGGAGTTTACTCTGACATATGTATTGAGAACATACGAAAAGTTGGTTTTAACATACGTAAAATATTACAACATACATGGAAGTTACTGTGAAATGTGTAAAATATGAGAACAGACGGCGAGTTTACTCTTACGTGTGTAAAGTCTAAAAGATACGGATGTTTACTCTGACATGTGTATTGAGAACATACGGAAAGTTGGTTCTAACATGTGTAAAATATTACAACATACATGGAAGTTACTATGAAATGTGAAAAACATGAGAACATACCGGTGTTAACTCTGACATGTGGACTATCGGAACATAAAGAGGGGTAACTTTGACATGTGTAGTGAGAACATACGGAGGGTTACTCAGACATCTGCAGCAGAGAGTTGATGGTGGCGTCCTTGTCGCCGCGGTTCGCCTCCAGCACAGACTTGATCACATCCTTCTCGATGCTCGGGAACATCTCCTCGATCTGATAATGAAAGAAAAGAAAGTTAAAATACACAATAATAAGGTAACATAGTTAACTCTCACATGTGTAAATGACCTAAAACTCTTGACTAAACATTGAGTAGTGTGCGCACCTCCATAAAAACTCATAGGATAAAGCGAGACTAAACAGTTGTGCGATAGTTTAGTCAAAGGTGTGCTCGCTCTAAAAATTAATTTGCAATTAAAAAGTGTCGTTTCCAACTATTGTTGGATCTTTGGTGTCGGCCAACATTATCACGTTAACTCATTTGAAATCGATCCTTATTAACATAGACATAAGGACTTTTGCATACCTGTTGCAACTGCTCAGGCGAGAGCTGCTGCTGCTGGTGCTGCGGCTGCGGTGCGGGGTAGGGCGCGGGGTGCGGCGCGGGGTACACTGGCATGGCGGCGTACCCCATGCCAGTGCTCGGCACCACCAGCACTGGCGGGAACGTGGCTACCGCCGCCGGACCCACCTTCATATACGATACATTTAGTATTGATAAAGAGACTAATCAGATACTGGCTTTCGCCCGCGACTCCGCGCGCGTGGAATTAAAAAAAAAGTAAGTAGCCTATGTCTACTTTCAGACTACCCTCTATATGTATGCCATATTTTATCGAGATCCTTTCAGTAGTTTAGGCTACAAACTCTAACAAACAAACATCCATCCATACCTTCGCTTTTATAATAGTAACATTACAATAATAGTTTTAATAACACTGTTGGTTAAAATTACAATGAAATCATAGTAATAACCACTTAATTTGTTTTTGTCTTTAAAGAAGCGAGTATATTTCTTTTTTAAAGACCTGTAAAGCATTAGTTTCTCTGGTTATATAAAAAAGCATCTGATTCTCTTATAAAAAATAATTAATCCATGTACTTACCGAGTAGCTCAGCACGAGGTTGATCATCCCTTCTTTACCATCTCCCTGTTTACCATTCAAAGGGTACCAATTCTCGTGTGTTTCACCCTGAAATATAATATAATAAATAGAATTCAATCAATAATGTATCAGTTTGTTTTAATTGAAATCTCTCATGCCAAACAATAACAATATCTATACTATTATAATAAAGCGTAAACACACTTCTTTGTTGTCTAAGATGTCAGCAATTACACCATATTTTCGAATAACTCTTTTTTTGATAAAAAGCCCTACACTTACGTCACGCTTTAGGCTATATATTTTCACGCCGTTAAACTTAGGGGTAAATATTTTGGATAAAAACCCTAACGTGGGAAAGAGACCTTAAGTTGTTGCTAACATCAAGGAAGCAAGGTTGCCATGGTCTGACATCATGTCTTGTCATTTTGACATTTGCAATTGATAATTTGAACAATAAAATGTTTTTTTTTTGTAATTCTATATGAATGAAGTCGTATGTGAACAGCTGGTATTTAATACATACATATAAGAAAACATTGTGTTACTAACATTGAGCACGGCTTGCGGGATATTGATGTGAGTCCAGGCGATTAACTCGTCCATTGTAAACGAGCATTCGTCGTAGATCTCTAAATAAATAGAGTTGACACCGGGCGGGAGTAAACTGCAAAATAAACCCTAATTACTGGAATAAAATTACCACCTCTATAATGTAAATCAGTGATTCTCAACCTTTTTTTGTTGCGGCACATAATTAACGACTTAAAAATTTAGAGGCACACACAGAGAAAGATAAAAATTGTTTACTTACTACACACTGCATATATAGTTTATGACAAAAATATGCAAAATTTGGCAGCAGAGTAGTTGAGAATTACTGATGTAAACAGTAAACCCCCTGAAACCTCATAACGTGTTTGATGGTTCCATGTTATCGGAATCCTAAGCGTAAAACGTTTATCAATAGGGCAGTACCGTAAATCGTGTTATAAGGGGTAGATGTGACGTTATATGGAGGTACGGAATTCTTGTAAGGGGGTTTAATGGATCGACAATCATTTTTGAATGAAATAGAGTACTAATAAAAAAATATTGTTACTCCTCTAAACGATAGATGTCTCTTCATTGCTAAATTGTTATTAAAAATACTAAGGTCAAGTAAAAATGTTTATTAAAAGGTAGAGATTGAATATTGATTTCGGTCTTGTCAAAACATACCAATGTATAACTTTATTCCAACGCGGAGTTCTTCCACCACTGGGGTCGGTCTGGGTCTCGTATATGCAGTGACCCACGCGAAGACGCACGTAAGGGTCCATTCGAGTTAGACCTGGGTTGACAAACGAATGCCGTTAATATGTGGCAACACATTCGCACCGAATTCTATACTAGCGCTATCGGCAGTTACATTTTGAATCTCAGTATAAGCTTGGTAGAACTGTCAGATTGGTAGCATGGTTTCTTTCTCTCTGTTGAATATTATTCTAGACTGTAATTTATATTGTACCATTCTATAATATGAGAAATATATGTGCTCTACAAGAAATCAAGCGTCCTTTTTTTATACGCAAACGTTGGTGACATTCATACCGATGTCCCACAAGTATACATATGCAGTTAAAATGTCAATACAATCTGGTTTATAACATCAGGGGTCTACTACGAAAGATTGCGAGAAAATATTCGTCATATTATCGACATGATAGGCCCCTGTTATATAAAATATCACACATTACTGCTATTCTTATAATTGACCGACTTCCCAAAAGGAGGTACTCAATTCGTCTGTAAATATGTTTTTTTTATTTAAACCGTTACTTATTGTACATTTCTCATATGAATCCTAAACTAACATACATTAGTATTAGTAACTATATATGGTAGAGAGAGGTAACTTTTTTTTCAATATTTAACGATACTAGATTAATATTTGAAATATAACATAAGCTTCTTTCTATGAAAGCAGATTATAAAATAATATATGGAATTTTTAAAGTGTTGAAAGTATTATGTGTATTTTGTACAAGTGGCTTCTAAGAATTACTTAGGCTTCTTTAAGTATCAAACATTTCCGCGTACACCCACATAAATATGAATGGTTTCTGTTTAGGTTAGAAAAACACTACATAAAACAAAACTGCTAAGTTTTTTTTAAATACAGTGATTCAAAAACATTTAATTAGTAGAGAAATATCGATAATTTTAGAGGTTTCTTTTTTTTATATCATAAGGTGGCAAACGAGCAAGCGGCCACCTGAATCCGCCAAAATGGCGAAGCGACCGCTGCCCATAGACATCCGCAATTGAAGATGCGTTGCCTACCCTCATCCGACGGAGGAAGAGACACACATAAAGAGGATATTTCCCCTTCCTATGCATCTCCTCCACCGTCAAATCCACTTTCCCTTCCCATCCTCTCCTTATAAGAAAAGGGTGGTAAAGAGAAAGGGACTTAAATTAGGCCTCCGGCACCACACTCATCAGACGAAACACGGAATTGCTTCCATTTCACGACTGTCTTCTGTGTGGTATTACACCGGTGTGCCGGCCCTGCACTGCTAAGATGTTAAATCGGGCACTACCACTGTCAAAATTCAATAATCATTCTAATGTGATGTAAATAAACACATTTTTCGTATTAGAATTGGACCCGTGCAAAGCCGGGGCTAGTCGCTTGTCTAAACGTCTGAACGGATCACGATGAAATTGGCATGTTGGTATTGTCTGGAAGAACACATGAGCTACTTAGTTTTTTTTTTCACGCGGGCGAAAGCTAGTATAATAAATAAATCATAATAGCAGGTGTACAAGATGTAAATTGTAATAAGATCTTAGTTATTATTTATTGTAATGTGTCATTTAACAATGGAAAATCCAATTATTCATTGGAATAAAGTCACTAATAGGGATTGAATTTTTATTGATGTCTGCCCGTGACTTCATTCGTGGAATTAGAAAAAAACTTAGTAAGTAGTATTTATGTTCTTGCAGACTATGTTTTAAGTTTTAAAAACTTAGAAATCTGACAAATAATAAAATAAAAATGAAGAACAAAATCATTCCCCAAGCCGACTGGTCATCGTGGGGGATAGAAGACCACGACCCTCCATCATTATAAGAAAACATACTATATACTATAATCAAAATATTCATCAATATTACGAGGAAAAATAGACAACTACATTACAAAAAATAAAAACTGAATACAGAAGAAACCAAAATTAACAAGATTAAATAATAAAAATATAAATTAGAATTATAAATATGATGGAGGAGGCCTTTGCCGACTGGCAAACAGATAGCTTCGAAGAAAAAATAAATGTGTAACTCTGTATACCTAGTTCATAAGTTCTTTGTAAGCTATTATGAATAAAAGGCTATTTCATTTCATTTCATTTCAGACTATGTTTTACATCTTAGGTAAATCTAATTGAGATTTGTTATTCTATTTATAGAGATATGTAGTAACAAACACCAATCCAACCTTTACAAATATAAGAATGAATTATGATCATACTAATATTATAAATGCGAAAGTTTAGATGGATGGGTGTTTGTTACAGTTCATAGCCTAAACAACTGAACGGATCTCGATGAAATTTGTTATAAATGTATAGGGTAGTTTGGAAGAACACATAGGCTACTCACTTTTGTTTTTTTTATTCCAAACGGAAGAAGTTGCGAGCGACAGCCAGTAATTTACATTTTAATTTATTTGCATGTTTGTAAATTGCGAAAAATTTTGTCGAAATGTTTTCAAATAAAACGTTCATTATAATAGTCTAATACTATTTAAGCTAGTTAAAACTCTATTTGAAAATATAACCTCATTAACATAAATGTTTCGGTTCTTGTTAAATGGAAGTAAATTAATTCAAAAAAATAAGGAATGTCACGGTCTTATAATTAATTTAAAAAAAGCTTTCGCCCGCGACTCCTTCCATGGAATTCAAAACAACGAATGTAGCCTGTGTTCTTCCAGGCTATTATCTACATTTATGTTTCATAAAGATCCAACTGTGTAGGCTACAAACTTTAACAAACATCCATCCATCTAAACTTTCGCGTTTATAATATTAGTAAGTATGATTATAAAATCTTTATACAAAGTAATCTTACTAATCTTACTTCTTACTAATATTATAAATGCGAAAGTTTAGATGGATGGATGGATGGATGTTTGTTAGCGTTTGTAGCCTAAACGGCTGAACGGATCTCTATGAAATTTGGCACAGGTTTAGAGCATAGTCTGGATGCATACTTTTTATCTCGGGAATAGTTACGGTTCCTGTGGAATTCATTAATTTAGTTTTTTTAATGTTTACTCGATTATTCTGCAACGGTTCAACATATCTTATTGAAATTTGGCACAAATATAAAACAAAGTCCGGAGTACACATGGGATAAGCTTCATCCCCGAGAAATGTCCGGTTCACGCGGGATACGTAACTTTTTGTAATTTATATAGTTTGTATGTTTTCTAATACCACGCGGACGAAGTCGCGGGCAACAGCTCGTGTACTATAAATATATATTTTTCAATATCACTTTATATCTATTGCACATGTGTATGGATGCACATTCATCATTCACACAAAAGTGTGTTTCCCTGTGAGCTCCTATTACCGAAACACAATGCTTTCATTACGTTTTTGTACATATGTATTGGTAGTGGAAACCCACGGTTAACACTTAATGCGTACCCGCTTTTATAGCTGGAAAGTATGATTTCTCTTAACAAGCCCACTAGTAGAACTAGTTGCATTTACGACCAAGATATTAAAACTTACTTAAGATTTATATTAAATTGTAGTCTCTAAAATCTAAATAAAAAAAATTATAAAAATATATTTCTTTCTACATGAGTATTCAGTAACAAAAAAACAGACAAATTTACATACTTCTTTTGGAAAGTCGGTTACATATAAATTGATTACAGTTCTTGTAAGATTATTGTTTACAAAATTCTTATAAAAACTTACCATAATTTTTAGATAGCTTAGCTTGAGCTATAGTAATGCTGAGTCTGGCAGTCAGAGGAGGTCCAGTAGCGGGTACCTAAAACAATAACCTCATTACACTAACTAAAAATACATGGATAGAAAAATGATTATTTTGTAATAATAATTGTATAGCTACAAAACTCTACCTTTGTAAATACACAATTAAGGACAACTAAGAGGTTATCCCACCACTGGCTGACAGAGGCTCAGATAGCTTAAAAATGTCACTGTCAGATAAGGGAACAAAATCTGATATTTACATCACATATTTTACACATTAGATTGTTATCAGACAATTTACAATTTGGTGGGACAGGCCCTAAAGAAAGTATATTTAAACAGGATATGTGTAAGAATTTAAACATGACAGCTGATAGACATATGGAGGAGTACATACTGTGCTCCTCAATAGGGACAAGGTCAGGTTGAATGATAGTCTTTTGGTAATGTCTATTAAAAATAATCAAAGGTCTTAAAACCATTATATTGTTTAAAATTAATAATACCTATTTCATATTGTTTAAAATGTCAATATACTGTTACGAGCGTGGATGATAGAGTTAAAACGCCTTGAACTTCTTGTCGTTATTCATTTGTCATTTTATTCCAGAACTTTCTCGATAGTCTGAATTACATACATTTTATAATGGAACATTCTCGATGCCGTTTCGAATATTCCAGACATCTTTTGGCGAACGTCATTTTTGCTAGTGGCCGCGATCGAACATTCTGGAAACAGCTCGATTTTTCTTCGGATATGAATTACGTTACTCATCAATAGATGAAGTAGTGACAATACTTAATTGTTAATATAGTAAAATTTTTTAATAATCTTAAAGGCATACTTAAGAAAAAGTGGCTTCAGCGGTTTCCATTTTTAGATGGAGTGCTTCTTAAGAGTTATACAATTTGCATTTAGAATATTTTTGAATTTTAATCAATCTAAAAATGGATGCTTGACTCTTACTTGTATGATAGAACAGTTTACAATGAAAAATATTGATTTGTGTTTTATTCTTGTAAATAGATAACAAACATTTTTAAACAGTGCACTGCTAGCAGTATCCAGGATACAATATTAGATAAAACAACTTATGCCAAATAAAACTCTAGAAATTTAAAATGTATTAAGAAATGTTTGTGCTAAGTTATTTGTAACAGCATGAAGGAGATTTAAAAAGAGAAGGACAGAGAGGAGGGCAGCGGTCTCTTGCCATTTCAGTGGATTCTGATGGCCGCTTGCTCGTTTGCCACATTACTTTATAAAATTAAGGAGATGTAAAGGCTATAATGTTATAAAAAACCATTCTAAAGAAAACAGTTATGTGTTTCAAGACATATGACAAGAAATGTCATCAATTGGGTTCAAATGAATGTTCATCATCATCATCTTCCTCATCTTATTCCACTCTGGTAAGATCAGCAACAGGTTTTCATCCTCCAGGTGTCTCTTCCATCATATCAGTTGTCACTCATGTGATACATGTTAAGATAATAAATTCTAACCTTCTTTTAATCTGTGTCCAGTGTGACAAACAACTAATTTAAAAATCTACTAAACTAGTTTACTGTATATCCAAAAATATGATAACAAAAAAAAACCAGTTTTTTTGCTATAAAAAAACTCCATCAAATTAACCCTTAATTCAATAGTGTGTTGTACAACTAATTTAGAAAATCTACTGAACTTGTTTAGAGAAAAATATGTGAGATTTTGATTTTACTGTGTATACATATATCTTTGCTACAAAAATTCTGTTGAAATTAGGATTAAGGGTTAACTATACTTACAGTAGCTCCACTGAGTTGTTGTTGCAGAGCGAGGGCAGCCTGGTAATCTGCATCAACATTGTCTACAGTACCATCAGCCCTCAGGAACCCAGCAGGCAGCGGACCCAAGAGCAACTGTAGGGTTTAAATGTATCTAATTAATTTTATAACAGTATACATAAGGAATATATAACATTTTTTTTATCTTATAAGGGTTATTGATGTTTTATAACAAAGTGTAATTCTTAATGGATATATTTTCTTACAATAAACGAATTTTCTATATTTTGTATTTTTTTAATTTGTTAGTCTATCAAATTGTGTTAGTCAACCATTTGTTATTTTTTAATCCATTGCAAAAGGTATATTAATTTATAAAGTCTGAGCAATCTTGATGAAATTGTCTACATTACACTTTCACTGTTTCAAGGTTTTTACACACAAAAAAACAAAATAGAATCAAAACAAGATGCATATTAAGCAGCTCTTACGTGCGCAATGTTATTTTCATCCGAAACCGGTCTTCGGTCATTAATTTCGATCTAGTTTATGTCGAACAAACAAAGACGCAATTTCTTTCTATTTTCTGTATACTGTAAATTGTTGTTGAATAGTATATTGACCAAGACATTTTTGTAGAATTGATAAGATTATTATTACTAATATGAAAACAACGCAAAAACATGAATCATTCCTAAGTACAAAATATATTGCAATACATTATTAAATATTTTAGCTCACCCTACGTCGGCGTTCCTCGTTCCTATCAGCTTCATTAGGTAAAGTAGAAGTCATGATCACTACTTCAATCTGCTTTCTTCCCAATAAAGATTGTATTAACAAAGATGTTTTTCAGCACAGAAATCTCGCGAACGTCTATTCTCTTTTATCAATTTATCAATAAATGAAATGACAGATGACAGGGAATGACAGGTGTAAAATGCAAAATACAACAGATAATATTAAAGATTATTTGACATGACAGTGAATCGATTTTTCATGATTTCTATTGAAATTAATTAATGGAGACAGAGCTTTTTAAATAGTACGTGTCTTAATCAAGTAATTGCACAATTTTTTAACATAGGTAATGGAAAAAGAACATAATAATGGGAAAAATTGCAAAATTCTTACGCCACTCCGAACGTAACTCACACTCAACAGCTGTCTTGGACTTCTACGTCAAATTCTTCTGTCATCAACGTCAAAGTTTTTGATTTCGTTCGTATCTATTTAAAATCTTTTATTTAAATGAGGTGTTTATTTTAAAGGATCTGTGTTTATTTGTACAATATTGCACAAAACTATAATAGCGTGTTAAAAGTTTAATGATGCATTTGTGTGATTAATTCAAGTGAACATATAACTTTACATATTCCCTTGTTATTGAACGAATTTTGTATTTGTTATTGATTTACGCGTTATTCAGTAATGGATATCATCAAAACTCCTAAGGTAAGATTGAAAACACTAAATATGTTAAGAAATATTAAAAATAGTATTAAAATTTGATTAGATTACTGTAAATATGAGTATTATTGGGCGTTATTGTTTCCTTTATTTTACTGATAAGAATGTTTAGTTATTTGCGATTACAACTGTGTTCCAATTACATTTCTAAGATTATTCTATATATTTACAATTATTGAACAATATTTGATATTGTCTGTTGCCACCAGTTTACTGGTAAATAATAAGATTGTCTATTTTATTATTTACTTTACTGATAAGTGTACAGCTGTTACTAATGATATATAAACAACTTACTTTTCCTTAAATTTTGGTGTTTTCAGTGACTTTTAAATGCTATTAATTTTTTATGTATTTTGACTTATCAAGATTGTATATGATGCAGATGTTTTAGTTATATTCTATAGTTATTAACTAGTAACTTGTATATGTACCATGAATATACTAAAATACCAATTTAAATACAAAATAACATATCTTACAACTAGGTGTTATGGAAATTCGGTAAGGCTTATGTAATTTGCCAAGGGGACAGAGCAAAGGCAGTTTATCCCTCCACTTAGTTAATAAATATGGTAACCCTCTCTAGACCTAGCCTAAATCATCCGCTTGTGCTGCAAATCATATATCCACCCTTGTTTTATTAAAAAGTTACAGAATTTGAAGTAGGAAAGAAAGTACACATATATAGAGGAAAGAAAGAGAGAGGGTCAAATAGGTATATTAAGGATAGTTTAAGCCCATTTTTGTAATACTATTAGTTTTTGCAGCTTTTGATATACTTGATAAAAATAATTCACAGTATTAATGTTGTAATTTTTCATCTTGAATTAATTTTTTACGTTATTACTCTTTAATTAAAATTATGGAGGTTCATTTTACGCAATTTATTTTGTTTACGCTAAAAACGATGGCGCGCATGCGCGACCTTTGTTATTTGAAAATGGTTTCAATGGTGTAGAGTTAAAGCTCAAATTTGCCCGCTCGCGTCGTAACCTGGACATTTCACTAGGGAGAGAGATTTCAGCGGTTCCGATTTTTGTTAGTATCTTTCGTGTCACGGTAGGGGTAGGTTTCAATTTGTCTAAAAGGCGGGAAAAATATATTACATCACAGATAAAAAATAAATTAAAAAAAGTTTCAATTCAATTTCGAATGTAATTACTGGCTGAATACGATGAATTTTTAATCGATTATTGGTATAAATTAAATCGATTTTCGCCGCGGACCGACTTATTTGTTTGTTATTGTAATTTGAAAGTCCTTTGGTTAAGATAAGATGGCATTAAGTTCGTTGTCACCGTCGAACATGCTCGGCGAGCTCGGTCGTCTGGCGAACTGGCTGAAAGGTGATTGCGTTGCACCGGAAGAGTTTGCCGGCCTTGCCGTTACTGAAAAGGTGAGAAGAAGTAAAATTTTACAACGTTGCTGTATGTCTTGATCAATTAGTAATATTTGTTTTTTTTTTAATACGAATATTTAATTATTTTATAGTTGTACCTAAAAAGGTGAAAAGGACACGATTTATATATTTACATTTCACTTAAGTAACGATCAATTGATTTAAAAAATTTTGCGATTTTTTTCCGGCAATAAGTTTTACTAAGTGTTACTTATTTTGGTATAGCTAAAAATACAGGATAAATAATCATTATGTTTTATCTCATTTATGTTCACTTGTTAAAAAAGAAATCAATAGTCAATTATTGATAATTAGTTCTGTTTCTGTATTAATGTTGATCTTTGAAATGGCATTTTGATTGTACGTTTATTTTGTATTATGTAAGGAATTATTTTATTACAATGGTGATAGAGGTTAGAGTTGAATGTTTAATTTAAGTGAAGTGCATTTGGTATCTTGTATGCTGAGAGTTTTGATAAGGGAACATCGAACTTCAATTAATTTAATGTGTTAGGTAAGTTTACTATATTTTATAGTGTATATTACCTTAATAGAGTAGTCCTTAAAAGAACCTTGTATCTATTAAAAGAAAACAACAGAGTAGTCGATACTAGTACCAGTACGACAAGTAGATTTTTTTAATTTCCATCTTACTCGTCAAAATTGGTTCAGAAGTTTAGGCTATAGTCCATCACAATGGTATTTACATACAAACTCACACACATTAAACAAACTTACATACGCGCGAGAAACCATTACCTTAATTATGAGCCGGGTTATTAAAAAGAATAAATAATGTTCTTAACACACAGATATGCGAGTTATTTTAGTTTTTCAAACATAAAAAAAATCATGTTTGAAAAGTAAAATAACAGGAGTAAAAGGTTAGATGCGCATGTTGTGAGAAGGGGTGAATCGCATGTAACAAGACGAACGTTAGTTATGAATGTGGAGGGGTACACCGGTAGAGAAACAAGAAAGAGATGGATGGATTGCGTGAAAGGTGACATGATCAAGAAGGGAATGATAACAGATGACGGATGATAGAGTTATTTGGAGAACGAAATCCCGGTGCGCCGACCCTACGAGAGTAGGATAAGGCAGGGGAGATGATGATGATGATGAAAATGGACACATTTCAAACAAGTAAATATAATTCTCCTTATAGCACTTTGGTAATTCAATTTCTTTTTATTAATCTTGCTTTTTTTATGTTCCAAAAAACTGATTTGATATTGGACAGTTGACTCGTCTATTGGCTTGTTAGCGGTACTTTTTGTGGTTGATTGACCGGTATTATGAAACTTCGACAACGTGATAGATTTTATTGAGACATTTTCAATTGATGTTGACATCGGATTACGTGAAAAATAGATAGAAAGTGATATTTAATCACTCTCAAAATGATTAAAATAATTATTTGAATGTTTACTTATAATAGCAATCTTAAACTCGATTCCCCAAAGTCTATACTTTTTAAATAAACACTACAAGTGTGTTACGATTTGAACTTCAAATTACAGAAATATATAATGAAGATGTTAAACCACAGACCTAAATTTTAGCTTTAAAATCATAGTACATTTTGTAAATTAGACGTAAAGAGAACAGACTATTTAATTGTAAAACAATCTGAATATAAATTACTAGTTTGCCAATATACAGTAGCAATAGGAACTGATTTTCTACCATTATTTTATATTTCGCCGACGCATGAAGATAAATTTATTGCAGATGTACAAAGCTTCTACTTTATTATTCCTTACCCAACTCGATTTCATTACAATAGTCAACGGAACTTTAAAACAATTACTGTTTGATGAACTATCTTCGGTCTCACTCTCTCGTTAACTCCTGTCTATCTTTTGTCTCTTTCTTGTAACGAATTATGCGTACTCGTGACGTGTCCTTGAAATGTACATTTTATGTTATTAGATGCCTAGTAGATATGAGTAGAGAGAGACCTAATAGATGGATATACCCTACGGGAGTAGGGTGAGGAGAAAGATGATGATAGATGCCTAGTATTGTTTAAATTTTGAGGTATATTCATTTATTATATCTCTAGAAGTTTATCTTTTAACTATTTCAATAAATATTTCAGTTAATTAATTGTCGAGTCTATTATAAGGCATAGTCTAATATTCAGTGACTCGGATAACTTAATTAAGTCGATCGTTCACCGACATTCTGCGACGTAACTTAAGAGAGCTTTGACTTAATCTTGTAAAGGAGCTACTTCATAACTTAAAGGACTAGTTTCAGGCTGACTTAACCCATACTTATGTTTACCAGTACTTAACTTCCAAGGTAAATCGTTAACAAATATGTAAATTTAAGAAACTTTAATAGCATCCCACGTACTTAATAATAATGCAATAATATAGAAAATATGAGAACGTAAAAATTGCATCTCGTTTTGCATATAAATTGAAATAAGCGATTTCCAATATGAGCGACGGAAGGAACTTCGCATGCCTTCAGATGCCGACTGTAGAAGATATGCGGTCTTAAAACCTAATTCTCCAATCTTGTGTGGGTGTAGAAATTCCAATATTATAAATACAAGTTGTTGTCTTCAGCTTCGCCTGCATTCGTCTCCTGTTTTCAACCCTGGCTTTATATGTAACTGGGTTTGTATGGGTTTAAATTTTTATTTTCCTAAGATGGTACAATGTACACTGCCGGCAAAAAGTTTGAGACCACTTTGTACACGGGTTATAGTAGCTATCTCGTTGATATAAAAGCAAACGTCAATTCTTTTGTCAGTAAATTAATTTAGAAAGACATTTGAAGAGGGTGAAAAAGTTTTTCATTTAATATCTGCGCAAAATATTTCAACTTCTCACTTAATCTAAATTGTTTGATGTATTTTTTGATCTTCTAGTCGACATGTTTTTGGAAAGTCTTTTGAAACAAAGGATGTAATTTATTTTCAATTTATTTAAACAAAACCCTTGTTCGTGCGAAAACTTTATTGTTTTATAATAAGGGTTTTTGTTTAAATGTTTAAATTGTTTTTTTTTGTGAAATGACTAGCTGCTAGTCCCGGTTTCGCATTGGTGGACATTTTTTTGTAATAATAATGTAACAATATTAAATGTAACGTATCTAACTCAGAATTAACCTAACAGACTAATGAAAGTCTAAAACTGTCAAGTGATTTTTGAGTTTATTTGTTATAAATATAGAAAATAGCTACTTCTTTCTAACTATCACACAACTGTTTAGTCTCGCTAATTCCTACGAGCTTATAAGGAGTTGCGCACACTACTAGATTTTTAGTTGTGCAACTAAATAGTTGAATGGGTTGCGGAATAAATAATAATTTAATTTAGTCAAAGATGTGCCCGCTTTTATAATTAGTGTAGACTCAAAAGTGACAATTCGTAGCTGATTTATGAGTTTTTTTATTGTGCGTTTAATTATGATATCAAGAATCTAACTAATCTTATGTTCTTACTAATATAATAAATGCGAAAGTTTAGATGGATAGATGGATGGGTGGATGTGTGTTTGTTAGAGTTTGTAGCATAAATTCCTGAACGGATCGCGACGAAATTTGGCATGGCTGTAGATGATA